CTGAGAGCGGGTTGCAGCTACACTGAGAGCGGGTTGCAGCTACACTGAGAGCGGGTTGCAGCTACACTGAGAGCGGGTTGCAGCTACACTGAGGGCGGAATGCTGCTACAGTGAGGGCGGGTTGCAGCTACACTGAGAGCGGGATGAAGCTACACTGAGAGTTGGATGAAGCTACACTGAGGGCAGAATGCTGCTACACTGAGGGCAGAATGCTGCTACACTGAGGGCAGAATGCTGCTACACTGAGGGCAGAATGCTGCTACACTGAGGGCAGAATGCTGCTACACTGAGGGCAGAATGCTGCTACACTGAGGGCAGAATGCTGCTACACTGAGGGAGGGAACGTGAAGACATACAAGACTACAGCACCTGTTGATCCTATACGAGGCAGCTGCTATTTATAGTATACCCATCAAAACTCATCCATACATATATCTAACCTATCTCTGAAACCATCCAGCGATTCCACGGTTTGATTTCTTAGTCTACATCCTCAGAACACACTTGACCACAAGAAATACCACCACTGCCGTTATTGTAAACCAAACCCCAGGTTTACACTAGCCCCCCAGGAATACCAATGCTGCCATTACTGTAAACCTGACAACAGGATTTAACTACAAAAAATTCAGTTAACAAATACTGCATTGTTTCCATACCCAAATAACACTAGAAATATATATATTTGTATTTGATTAATTGAAGAGTCAACCATTTACTATTATTGAAAAACTATATTTTTTTATATTATAGTAAAAGACATAATAAGTAAATTACGAGCTAAAAACAAATCTTGGATTAAATATAAAATATGAATTGCAAAATAATTCGTCGTTAAGCATTGCAAGATGCAAAATTAAAACGTGATTTCAATTTTAAGAAAAATTTTATGTTTAAGCAATCATTAAAAAGCGTATTGAGCACATTGCATTAACAGAAAATAATTATCACAATCAAAATATTTATCACAGTCAAAATAATTCTCACATAAGAGTTATTACAATCAAAATAATTAGGAATAAAGATCATTCTTACATTCAAAATAATTTTCACGTCCCAATACAATCACCAACTCAGAGAGGTTAAGCACACCCCAGGTTGATACCTGCGTAACCTAACCTAACCTTCACTAACCTAACCTAACCTTCACTAACCTAACCTAGCCTACACTAATCTAACCTAACCTACACTAATCTAACCTAACCTACACTAACTTACCCTAACCTAAGATAACCTAACCTAACTTAACAAAGCCCAACCTAACCCTACTTCATGTAAACACCCCCCCCCCCCCTCTCTCTCTCCACCCGTTTATCTCTACTCTCCATCATTCACTTACTCTCACTCAACCTCTCGGCTCCCTCACACCACCTCTGCTCCCTCACACTGCCTCTACACCCGTCACACTGCCTCTGCACCCTCACACTGCCTCTACACCCTCACACTGCCTCTGCTCCCTCACACTGCCTCTACACCCTCACACTGCCTCTGCTCCCTCACACTGCCTCTACACCCTCACACTGCCTCTGCTCCCTCAATGTCCTCACCTGCCTTCCAAAGTGGACCTCATCAATATTCACGACCCTTGACCCAGTCAGCCTCGCCGGCAGATAATTCGTTTATTCACCTGGTTGTGCTCACCTAGATGTGCTTGCATTGTCGAGTGTCTGTTCTTAAGCCTCGCCTTTCGACCATCAATAATTCAATGCAATGTCTCATTTCACTCGTTTTTTTCTATATCAATTTACATTTTAAACTGTGTATACAATTGTCCTCGAAAACTTCTTTATTTACTATATATATATTCTGTCTCTATATCCTTCTCCATCTGAAGACGAGGTGTGATAGCCCGTCCTCTGATAGGTTAGGTGGGCAGGAAATTCTCATAAAGTTTCAAAACATTATGAAAAACGTTAATTGAAAGTTCCTCTTCTAAGCTGTCCGAGGAGGGCCGGACGACTCAAAACAGAAAACGGAACAGTACGTCACTTTTGTGAGTCGATTTCATTTCAAATTACGTCCAAATTTACCCATAGTGCGCATACGAGCTAAAAGTGACGTTATTTTTAAGAGGACGGGTTGAGCTGAGAGCCAGTCTCCACTGTGTGTAAGTAAATACCTTCCCCGCATCGTCTTCCCAAGACTCTTTATCATCTCCGCGAGGGGCTTCGAGGAGCGCGATGGAGCGAACACACATAACAAGAAGTTTAATCGAAGGTCGTTATCAAGAAATTGAAACATTTTATTACATTTTAAGCTGCGCTCTCGCGCTCTCTCTCTCTCTCTCTCTCGCTCTCTCTCTCTCTCTCTCTCTCTCTCTCTCTCTCTCTCTCTCTCTCTCTCTCTCTCTCTCTCTCTCTCTCTCTCTCTCTCTCTCTCTCTCTCTCTCTCTCTCTCTCTCTCTCTCTCTCTCTCTCTCTCTCTCTCTCTCTCTCTCTCTCTCTCTCTCTCTCTCTCTCTCTCTCTCTCTCTCTCTCTCTCTCTCTCTCTCTCTCTCTCTCTCTCTCTCTCTCTCTCTCTCTCTCTCTCTCTCTCTCTCTCTCTCTCTCTCTCTCTCTCTCTCTCTCTCTCTCTCTCTCTCTCTCTCAACTGAAAATATAGATTTACTTTATGCTATCAGCTCCACTAAGGCAAGAATTTCCATGAACCACCATGGTGGTGTGAGTTGTGGTTGTGATGGTGTGGTGGTGGTCAGGGTCATGGTTGTGGTGGTGGTCAGGGTGTTGATGATGTGATGGTGGTGATAGTGAGGGTGTGGTTGTGGTGGTGGTGGTGGTGGTTGTGACAGATCATAGTTGCTGGCTGGCTCTGGGAGAGGGAATGGACGCAGGTGGAATTATCCCGGGAAATTTACCTTGATCCTCGAAATTAAAAAAAAAAATATGTATATTGAAAAAGAGGCGGAAGAAAGTGGCAGGCGGCCTTGATTGGCTGGAATATGTGGACGTGTGGACGGGGCTCTGGGGACCTCTCGTAAACCAGTTCACGGTGGATGAATACATCGAATTTTTAGTCTGTCGGGGAAATTGAATAGGATGAATATTATTACCGAATAATTCTAGACATTATCATTAGTAGATAAAAGTTCTTAAACCTTCTGCAACGATTGTCTGATTTTTTTTGGAGGGGAGGGGGTGCTGAAGAGCCGGACGATAGTGGAAAATTATTACACACACATGATTGATTATATTATATAGTTCCAGCTGTTTTACATGTAAATTGTCACTAAGAAAATCGGACGTGGTAAATTCAACTGACAAGCAGCTGGATTAAGCCCTGACACTCTCTCTCTTCCATTAAACTCAATTCCTCTCCTTCCTATATTCTTTTCCTCTCCCCACTTCCTCTCTTACCTAATGGGTAAGAGGGGAAGTGGGGGAGAGGAAACTCTATATATATGTCTAGGCCAGTTGATTCACTCTGCCTGGAACCACTATCGGAAGACCATCTGTCCTCGTCTCCAGAAGCGACTCCAGCAGGAGACTCCCTGGATGATACGGAGCTGCTTCTCTCTCCACTTCAACTTTGTCTCACAAAGTACCACTGTAGTTTCCTGAAAACCCATATTGTTGCGTGTTACCGTGTGTGTGTTGTCTGTGCCCTTCTGCCTGGTGATACGAAGGAGCTTATTTATTTATTTATTTACAAGATGATGTATATACTTATACATCACGGGAAGGAGTTAAGACTACCTAACCTCATTCTGGTCCTTATCCTTATGTAGCCTAACCTACATCGTAAGGTTTCAGTGCATTGTTGTTCTTAGGATGTTTGTAATCCCTTCTCAGTTCTGAAACGCCTTTTTCTTTAACATTTTTCTTCACACTTTCGCTCCATTTCCGTCTTCACAGATGGGTCTAAGTCTGCAGACGGTGTAGGCTACTCTGTTGTTTTTCCTGACCACACCTATATGTGTCGCCTGCCTCCGGAGACTAGCATCTTCACGGCATAACTTTATGCTATTCTCTATGCTCTTCGTCAACTGCTTTCTTGCTGTCAATCCTCCTTTGTTGTAGTAGTTGACCCTCGAATTGCCCTCATGGTTCTGGAGTCCTTTAATCCAGTCCATCCTGTGGTCATCGAAATTCAACATTGGCTGTTTCTTATCTCCAGTAGATTTAAGACAGTGGAATTTTGCTGGGTTCCCAGCCATATTGGCGTGTCCTTAAATGAGCGTGCAGACGCTGCCGCTAAGGAAGCTATCCGTACTTGTCCCATCTCCCGTAAAGGTATTCCTTATTCCGTCTTTTACCCAGTTATTCATTCCTCCATGCTTGTCCGTTGGCAGGGTTGTTGGTCTTCTGTTACTGGTAACAAACTGCATGCTCTTAAGAGTTGTGTGTCCCTGTGGCCTTCCTCCTACCACCGTAACCGGCGGTGGGAAACGGCTCTGGCGATGTTACGTATTGGCCCATACACGTTTAACTCACGGGCACTTAATGGAGCGCCGCCCTGCTCCTTATTGTCCAAACTGCATTGTCTCTCTTACAGTTGTGCATAATCTTGTTGAATGTCCTGACTTCCAGGACGAGCGTGTGTCTTGCTTCCCGACCGTCCCTCACGGTCACTTGTCCCTCGATAGAATTCTTGGTGAATCGGATACCTTTGATATCGTTCGCCTTATACGTTTCTGTTCTCATATTGGCATCCCTAGTGATATTTAGCGCCCTCTGATTATTCCGCACATTTGATGGTGCTACATAGCGCTCCCGGCTTGGTGCCTTCTTTTGATAATTACTTAAAGTAGCGGCAATCAGTGACGTCCAATGTTCACCCGAGGAGACGTAGGGATCACCAGTAACGTCCAGTGTTCACACGAGGCTACGAAGGAGTCACCAATGAATGCACCGCGACTAGCGTCACCAGTGGTGCTGTTGTTTTAGATTTAACTACTCGGAACGAAATGTCCATGTAGCACGGACTATGGTGAGCCTGTAAGTCACCAGTGGTGACCGATGATGTGAAGAGCCACGAAGAGTAGGGGGTTTCAGTTGCCAGGATCAGTGCCAGGGTGCCTGAGTCAGTGCCAGGATCAGTGCCAAGAGGATGGTGAGGCTGGGGACGGAGAGCGCCGGACTCCTGCTGTAGAAGGGACAATACGGACACTGGAAAGAGAAATGTACAACTTTGATAATGAAATCAAGTAATTGTTCGGTCTAAATAACACCCCCCGTACTCATAGCAGGACACAATGATTGTATTAATATTGTTAGTATTACTGTTACCATCAGTCAGGTATGATTCACTGTGTCGAGGGACAGGAAGCCAGAGTGTATTCATACACGTTAGAAATACGCAAATACAATAGTTACACATTAATGTTGCGTGCTTCTTCTCAGCTGATAGATGATAGTAAAGAAAACGGCAATAATAATTGTGTGGGTAAGCTGAAGCAATCAAACACGATAACGAAAAGCATAACTCAGCTATCGTGTAAACATTTATAAAGGGAATTGACACGCTCTTCTCTTCGAATCCACGCCTTATATTGTTTGTACCACCATCAGCTAACAATAAATAGACAGCCACATTTAGAACTACTGCTATATTGCTGTGAGATGTTCCTCTATAACCTTTTATAAACCTCTGACCTACTGGTAAACAATGGGCCATCAGGACTGCTACAGTGCGTCCTAATTCTTACGTTAAGTGACTAAGTCCAGTTAAGATGAGCATAAATCGGGTTTGGTCACCATTCTATAAAAATAAAAATAGGTTTACTTGAAAGTTTATATAAAAATATGAGGTTTATGGAAAATATGACGTCGATTACATATGCATTGAAGATTGGTCATTGCATTACGAACCCAAGTGTCTAATGACAACATGATTCCAGTTTTTGGCCTCAACGATAGTGGAGATTATTAAAACGAGGGATGGCTTTATATGGTAATTAATTATGCGTCAAATACGCGTCCTGTGAACAGTAATGCACCCCATACCCATCCAGTGAACAGTAGTGTACCCCATACTATGCACAACGCTCCCAAATACGCGTCCTGTGAACAGTAGTGCACCCCCATACCCATCCAGTGAACAGTAATGCACCCCATACTATGGGTATGGGTAGCACAACGCTCCCAGGATGAGTATGGGTAGCACGACGCTCCCAGGATGGGTATGGGGAGCACCACACTCCCAGGATGGGTACGGGGAGCCCAACGCTCCCAGGATGGGTATGAGGAGAACAACGATCCCAGGATGGGTATGGGTAGCACGACGCTCCCAGGATGGGTATGGGGAGCACAACGCTCCCAGGATGGGTACGGGGAGCACGACGCTCCCAGGATGGGAATAGAGTACAGTAAATGAACTAAACAACCACAGCATTGTATCCGAGGTCCGAATAAACAAAAAATTTGTTCTAGCTTTTCATTCATGTATTTCGTAGCTCTGTGTTACTGTTGTACTCGTTTGTACCGTCTCTATACGGTACATACCGTTGCTGTGTGAGCTTCCATCTGTGGATTCCACTGGATTGATTGATTGATGAAGATTAAGCCACCCAAGAGGTGGCACGGGCATGAATAGCCCGTAATTCCACTGAAGAGAGAGAACGATTATCTTATAGTGCTGCACCTAATACCAGAGGATACCTGGTCAGCCTAGAGCCGTGATTGCTGTTACCACAAGCTCAGTCTCCTCCGATTTGGGCCTTTTATCTTCGTCATATATGATATATCGACGCGTCTTACTAAATCTTATTTTCTCTTCTATATCTACACCAGTTGTAGCTGCGATAGTTTTGTGGCCTGAGAGGTTTTACCTTTCCTGGAGTGGTCAGCAAGTGATAAGTGTGATATATTTTTGCCTTCTTATCTATTCGTTGCTTCAAACATCAGTGTCTTATCATAGAGATAAGGCGAATAAACTAAACTATCGAGACTGTCACTAAATAGCCACTCCAAGTGGGTACACACATTAGCGTTAACAGATGGCGCCACTATCATCGTTTTTTCTAATGTCATTAGAGGGTGACCCCTTTAGGAAAAGGGGGGGGGACCCTTGACAAGCCGCCGGCTTCCTGTCCTCGTCGAGGCCAATAATGTTAGTGGCCCGTAGGTAAATTCAGGTAAATTCATCTTCTGACAAAAAAAAATTATCTAAGACATTATCTAAACATTAAAACTAAGTTCTATGTTTAGTTGTGTTTTTTTATTTGTGTTTACAAACACACATACTGGAAGACAAATATATTAATATTCCTTAGATGGATCTGGAGGCTGGACCGGATCATGCTGAAGCTCAACGTGGTGAAGCTGGAGAACGATTTTGCGAATCATTGCTCGACTAGGTTAACGAAAGTTGCCAAAAGGCACCGTTATTCATCCCCTGAATGCATAAATATATGTACAACCGCCACATATCGCACGATTGACTTGTGTATAATAAATGCTCCAGGCCTCCTTTTTTTTTTGTTACACATGCCCAGGAAGCAGCCCGTAGCAGCTATCTAACTCCCAGGTACCTATTTACTGCTAGATTATCCTAGATAACAAGGGGCATCAGGGTAAAAAACATTTTGCTCATTTGTCTCCGCCGGGAATCGAACCCGGAACCTCAGGATTACGAATTCGAAACGCTGTCCACTCAGCTGTCAGGCGCCCGTGTCTGCTGTCAGGCGCCTGTGTCTGCTGCCTGCCATGTCTGCTGTAAGCCCTTCACAGACTTAAGGTTGTGTACCTTGGGTTTCTTTATGTTCCAAGGTTTTGTACATTTTTGTGTGTGTAATTTTTGTACCTGTATTGTATTTTCATGTTTTGCTTTCTCCTATTTTGTGTTGTGTTGTTTCTGTCCGTCGTGGACGGTCTACTGTAATGTGATTGTGTGTTGAGTTTCATTTGGTCCTCTTACGTTTGTGCTTCATGTAAGTCACTGTTTGCTGTAGGCCCTTCAGGCCGGTGATATATCGTACCCTTGTTTGAGGATGTGTTGAACTTTTGTGTTTAATGTCTTTTCCCTGTGTTTTCATGTTTTGTTTTGCTTTTGGCTTCATGTTTGTCCTACTTGTTATGATCTATGTTCTGTTGTGGGGGACCTTCAGGTGTTTGGCTTTGTTACACACAGAAATCACAATAGCGTGAAGCATCAAATGAACAAGTCCACAAGGGGATGCTCTCGGACGTAGGTTCGAATCCTCGTCATGGTCCTTGTGGATTTGTTCATGGCTTTGTTCTTTTGTTTTCTTTCCCTTTGTGTTCGTTTTCTGTGTGTATTTAATGCTACTTATTCGCATGTATTGCAGATAAAAATTAATAAAAAAAACAGTTGGTATCAATGGAATTAAGTTAGAGTGGGAAATGTTGTAAATGATGTGCCTCAAGGCTCTGTCCTGGGACCTCTGCTATTCATAATATATATATAAATCATTTAGATTCAGATTTGAGCAGCAATATTTGTAAATATGCAAATGATACACAAATCGGGAGGGAAATGAACATGAAAAAAAGACTCGCTAACACTTCAAGATGATCTAAATAGTTCAATGGTTTATTTATATAACGTAACGTAATTCTCGTCCCCAGCATGTAACCCTACCGGGCTCAGCTTGATTAAGCACTCTCGTCCCCAGGCATTGCAATCCCGCGGCCACTGCTCAGTTAGGTGCGCGTCCCTAGTGCCTTCAGTCAGTCGGCCAGCAACACTGAGTAGGTGCACGCTACCAGTCTCTTCAGTCAGTCTCCCAGCCCCACTGAGTAAGTCCAACGAACTTGATTACTGAGTATTTCTTTATCACTTTGCTACGATCAAACATTTATTACACTGAATACGATATTTATGACATTTTCGAAATACTATCGTACCCGGGAACTTAAAATATAAAGTGTTATATTAGTTTTTCTCCCAATGATACGAGTTATATAGTGTATATTGGAAGGGGCGAGTGAAGTATTGAACAGGTTTACCGTTTTGTTTAATGGTTTACCGAAACTTGCGTAGAGGTAACTGGTTGAATTTGGCAGGTTGTATACTATACTATTTAATGAGACTACTGTTTAATGAGACTCTACTAGATAATGAGATTATTGCCTAATGAGACCTCGTCTTAACTCTGAATTTCCCCCCACCTCAGCCTTGAGCGCTCCCTCCCCCACACCTCACCCTCAGGCACTCCTTGAGCTCTCTCTTCCCCCACCTCAGCCTTGAGCTCCTCCTCCACACACCTCGCCCTTGACAATTCCCTTCCCAATAGAAAGTCAAATAATATTATAGACTGCAAGTAAGAAAGTGAGACTTGGAGAGGGACAATTATCTTCTTATATGTGCTATCAATCTGCTGTACGGTGTCTGTTAATCTTGTTTAAATTACCAATCAAGTTGTCAATGTAATCAACCAGAGCTTTAATATACCAATGTGCTTTAATTATACTTACTATTCTCTCTCATCTCATTTTTTTTCTTGCAATGTATCTGTTATCATTTTATTAATTCTGCTAGAATTTACCTACTTAAAATTATCTGTTAGATTAAGGACCTGCCCGAAACGCTGCGCGTACTAGTGGCTTTACAAGATTGCAAATACTATGCTATGTATTCTCTCTAACCCAATGTACCTTCTTGTATATAAATAAATAAAATGGTAATTAAACAAATAAATATTGACCCACTTGGCCTGGGATATCGTGTGTATCTGCTGATAAGATTAAATGCATCACGGGGGAGGAGATAGTAGGTCCATTTCTATTATTAGATGCAGTGAAGTAAAGGTCAATGCAGTATCATCATAGAACAATTTGTATTTGATATAAAGTGGACTGAAATGTCGTAATACAGTAGAAGGGCAGAGCAGTGGCTCTGTCTCTCTAAGTGAGGGTCTGGGCACGTTCAGAACCCAATGGATGGAGATGTGTGTGAAGAAATGCATGATAGGTTGGTCGGGGTAGTGACATGCGCATTGCATTGACTCATTGTATGAGCGAGTCATTGTCTCACGCGTGTGGGAAATACTGTCCACATAACCTTGAATTGTAAATGTTAAATAAAAATTCTAATGCGACTCATTCTCTTAAGCATAATTGATATATTAACAAGTAATTCGTAAGTGTGTAGTGAAGAAACTCCGCCACAGTTAGGCTGGGGGCGTCAGCTTGGCTCCTACGTCACGCACTGTGGTTATCTTGGGGTTATCTTGGGGTTATCTTGAGATGATTTCGGGGCTTAGCATCCCCGCGGCCCGGTCCTCGACCTCCAAAAAGGCCTCCTTTTTGTTACACACCCCCAGGAAGCAGCCCGTCGCAGCTGTCTAACTCCCAGGTACCTATTTACTGTAGGTGAACAGAGGCATTAACGATGAAAGAAATTCTGCCCATTTGTTTCCGCCTCCACCGGGGATCGAACCCCGAACATCAGGTACAACGAATCCGAAGCGATGTCCACTCAGCTGTCAGGCCCCTTGTGGTACACAATTGGGAAACTGAAGTTGTTTCCTATCACGTCTTATCAACTAAATAACAATAAGAAATCAAATAATACTCAAACAACAACTTAAAATAATATGAATCCAAATTTATAAATGAGTAGCCTAGGACTCTGGATGAACAAATAAAAAATTAAATAGTTCTCGCAAAAACAAAACAAAAAAAGAACTGCATGCGCCACGAGAGAGACGCCACATGTCTCCGTTACACACCCATAAGTTTATTTATTTATATATATATATATATATATATATATATATATATATATATATATATATATATATATATATATATATAAATAAATGATCACTACCTCTACCTCAAGAACAAATTGTTGACCAAATGCCCCCCCCCCCTTTTATATCAAAATTTTGTTTTGTAATTGCCATTCTTGCCTTGTTTTCCTACAACCAGCCTTCTTATGCAAACAAGTATAGATCCAGAACTAAACCTCTTATCCACTATCTATGACAATCATCACTTTAATGATCAAAATTGCAGATATTTTGCTGCTCATGATGTAAACAATGTATTAACACATAATCACAATATCTCTGTACTTAACTTGAATGTAAGATCACTAAGCAAACACTTCGATGATGTTAGTGCCTTGATTGAAACTATTGACAACAAATTCTCTTTTATTATACTTACTGAAACGTGGTTAAAAGAGAATATTACTCAACTCCTTAACATGCCAAACTACTCAGCAATTCACAACTGTCGACCAATTCAGAGAGGTGGTGGTACTGCTCTTTACTACCACCAAGAACTAACATGCTTAAAAGTAATTAGAACTAGAGACTGCTGTGGGGAGTATATTTTCGCCAGTTTCAGAGTCAAGGGTACTGAGTCTGTCCTGACTGTGGGAGCAGTCTATAGAATTCCTAACACTGATGTGTCCGAATTCAATTCTAATCTTAGAAATCTAATACTAGATAACAGACTGAACAAAAACCATCTAATTATCGCAGGGGACTTTAATATTGACCTCTGCGAGCCTGAAAACCCTACTGCTGTTAGCTTCCTCAACTGTATGAATTCCTGCTTCCTCATACCCTTAATCACTAAACCTACTAGAATTACTGATAGTACTGCCACAGCTCTTGATCACATCTGGACCAACATAACCTCTCTGCTTACTTCAGGGATAATCATCGATAGCACTACAGACCATTACCCCACATTTCTCCTAACTAACATTAACAAACCACCTCTAGAGACAAGGGAGATAAGCTTTAGGCTGCACAATGACACTGCCATAGGCAGTTTTATAGCTGCTGCTGCTAATATCAACTGGGAGTCCGAATTAGGTAACATAGGGGACATCAGCCTAGCAGTGCAATCTTTTCTTCAAAAAACTCTCAGCCTTTATAACACCCACTGTCCTATGCTAACGAAACAAGTTGCAAAGGGGATACTTAAATCCATTAATAAAAAACATGACCTTGAGAAGAAGTATAGGCTCTAAATGCCACAGTGAATACTGAGCTAAATATAGTCCATCACTGGCTAACTGCCAACAAACTCACCCTCAATATTGACAAAACTTTCTATATTTTGTTTGGCAATAAACCCTCAAATCAAATAAATCTCAGGATTAACAATATCCAAATTTGTAACAAAGTAGATGGCAAATTCCTTGGCGTTCTCATTGACCCCAAGCTGAATTTCCAGGGACACATTCTAAATATATCAAAAAAAGTTAAAAAAAAAACTGTTGGCATTCTTTCTAAGATCAGATATTATGTACCTCGCCCTGCCCTGGTGACACTCTATTACTCTCTCATCTATCCTTATCTTAACTATAGTATTTGTGTTTGGGGTTCTACTACCCAAAATCATTTACGTCCTCTAATTACTCAACACAAAGCTGCTATTAGGACAATATCTAACTCTGGCCCCAGACATTACTCGGTACCCTTACTCAAATCTCTGAATATGTTAGCTATTAAATCACTGCACATCCTCTCATGTGTATTTTATATATATAAAACGCTGAACTGTAATGTCTAACCTGACCTTAAAAGCTTCCTAGAAGGTTGTAACAGATCCCATGAGCACCACACCAGAAACAAATACCTATTTGATATTCCAAGAGTACGACTTAGTCAAAGCAGAAATGCTTTACAAATCAAGGGACCTCGAATGTGGAATGACCTTCCCAACTATGTTAAAGACTGTACCTCTCCCAACCAGTTTAAGGTAAACACTAAGTACCACCTAATTAACTCAATGTAACCTACCTCACCCCTGAATGTCAACCCATGTCTACGATTTTAAACAATGCTGTTTGTTGACCAAATTGTATTTTTTATTTTTTCTGCCATGTTTCCCCCCCTCCCCCCCCCCCCCCCCCATTTTTTTTCATTTTTTCTGATTTTTTCTCAACACAATTTATACTTTAATCTAAGTTAGTATTAAGTTTTAGTCTTAGTGTTTTTCCTGCCCGAAACGCTTTGCGTAATAGTGGCTTTAGGCATTGTATGTACTAGCTCTATCTATGAATCCATCAACTTTTGTATTTCACCTTGTATGTATGTACTGTATGTACTTTACCTGAATAAATATTTGTATTTGTATTGTATTTGCATTTGTTGTTTTCAATCATTTTTCTTAAGAAGGGGTCAAGCCAGCTCTGAACTCGCCACCAAGTTTCTTGGGTTCTCAATGGGAGACAGTCACATGTCAATGGTAGCAATTCTACCAGCTCCAACCCACTCATGTTAGACACATACCCAATAGTAATCACCATGGAAACCTGGGAAATGGTAGCCCCAATGGTCTGACCTCCAGCGGGCCGCGGGGACGCTAAGTCCCGAAATCATATCAAGATAACCTCAAGAGGAAGATAACCCATCTCGCACTGGAGCAAGTGGGCACGAGTAGAACAAGTGAACCTTGTGGTAACAAATTGTCTTATATAGAAACTTGCACGAGTCATAATAGGGGGGAACTAAGAATGTTAAGTAGAATAAGTAAGTCGGGGAGTGTATACTAACGCCACATGGACAAACGCACTTCAGAACTAGGTATACTTTTGAAGCAAGTGGACTAAAAGCTGCGGCAATAGTTGACAGGCAGGTGGAAGCTGATTACAGCTATCTATGGCCCTGGGTGCCATCTAGAATAGTACAGACGCTAGCAACCACTTCCTTTATAATATTTTAACTTCTATTATCAGATCCATCATGTCACTTGCCAGCGGCCACAAAGTTGTTCCTCTGGAGGGGGAGGAGCTGGCCAAGCAGAAGAAGGACTTTATTGGCCATAAAAGTGGTCTCGTCCGCCTCAATCCCGAGAGATGGCTCTTCACGACTGCTTTCTTGAAGTATGGTGACAAATATTACAACTTTAAGGTATGAGCAAACTTCATTTGGCTAAGGAACTAGGTTGTGGCATTTAATATTGACCGGAAAAAGGGAAAAGGAGAAGTAGTTGAAATTTCAAAGTAAGCTTTGAAATTTCATGGGGGAATTCATGAAAGAGTATCACATGTGTGATTAATGGTTTCGGTTGTGCGAGAAGAATAAGAGCGCCATCAGATATATCCATAAAGGAGGTAAAGACTAACCTGAAATGTGGTGTGAAATGTACGTGTTGATTAGTTCTAGGCTGAGATAAACTAATGTAGTGTATGAAATGAAAATGGAAAAGATGTAGAAAATTCCCAGAACATATTGGTGTAACAGATCTGTTATTGTGCTACTGAATAAAGATAAGTGTATGCAGTTAGTGTATAAGTTACACATTGTTAAGTGGATAAATTATTGGACATAATACCGATTATAAATAGTACAAAAACAATTATTCGCACATTCTCCAGATCAGCAACTCCAGTTTTGAATGGGGCACTTAACTTGCAACAATTGAACAAATCCACAAGGGCCGTGACGAGTATTCGAACCTGCGTCCGGGAGCATCCCAGACACTGCCTTAATCGACTGAGTGTCTCGGATGCTCCCGGACGCAGGTTCGAATCCTCGTCACGGCCCTTGTGGATTTGTTCATTTGATGCATCACGTTAGTGTGATCTGTGTGTCTGTGATGAACTTGCAACAATATTCCTCCCTAAATAGCATTAGTGTCTAAACAATACCATCATTGATTTGGCATCTCTTGTTTGACAGGTTCTCGTTATCCTGCCTGTAATCTTTCTTACAGTTGCAAGAGTTACTTTGTGTCCTGTAAAAGTAAGGTCTTCCGACATGATTATTCCCAGGCCTTTACTGTCCTTTTTTTTTTTTTTACTATAGTGTGATTTTACTGTTTTATATGTAACACCTGTTTGGATTTCTTCGTTCTTACCATAGAACAGGGGGCGAAATTTATCCTATTGAACCTAATGTTATTTTCCGTGGCTCATTTAAAGATGAGGTTTCATCTTTAAATGAAGCAGACCTCGAAGCACTGCAGACCTCGAAACATACGTTTCGAGGTCTGCAGTTCCGTATCATCCGGAACTGTATCAAGGATGATACAGTTCCGTATCATCCTTTGCAGTGTTCTCAGCAATTTCTACTCTCATACAAATCCTAGTGTCATCTGCAAAAGGATGATACGGAACTGTGTCCTTGTCTATGGCCGAGATGAGAATGAGTGTACTGGAGCATGCACAGTACCCTGGAGTACTGAACTTTTCAAGGCGGATGATCCGGCTTTTTACTTTGAATATAACACAATGCGTTCTGTTAGGAAATTGCAGCTCCATCTATCTATTTTTTCCGGTAATTCCTTTTACGCGCAGGGTTGTGAGTTTCATAATTTGGCACTGATTGTGAATGTTGTTAACTTACATCATGGGCCCCGGGCACCGATCCCTGGTCCTCCTGTGGCCCCCATCATGGACCCCCATCATGGACCCCCATCATGGGCCCCTTAAGGTCTGTTGTTTGCATTGGAATCAGTGTTGCAGCTCTGTTATCGACTAGTTGTGATTTCCCTTTTGTAAGCGCACGTGTTACTGAATATAACCAAAGGGCTGTAGGAATGATTCTCGCACATATCTCTTTCCTGCACTTTCCTCACTTTATAATGTAGTTTAAAATTTACTCCTAAGTTCATTTTACACATTTAATAGGCCTGTTAAGTGCCAGTAAAAGAAAGCGTTTTGCACATGTTAGCATCTTCAGATGTAGGGAATATTATGCATAGTCAGGAATGACTGATTGTTTTTTTATACACATTGCTGTCATTTCTACCTAGGAATTCCACTGTAACCAGCACCAATGTAAGTCGGCAGCATTTTCACCTGACGCTCCATTTTCCTGTCCCCCAGTTCGAGCCTAACGACGTGCTCTTGATGACGTGGCCCAAGTGTGGCACGACGTGGATGCAGGAGATCGTGTGGACGATGAGGAACAACCCCGACCTTGGCCATGCACTAGCTTCCCTGTCCACCATGGCCCGCTCTCCTTTTATCGAGTAATTGTTCGTTTAGACGCTTCAGTTATTATAACTTCAGACACTTATTTATGTTCTTGACCAAACCACATAACTAGAAAGTGAAGAGACGACGACGTTTCGGTCCGTCCTGGGCCATTATCAAGTCGATTGAGGTCCAGGACGGACCACAATCGTCGTCGATTGAACCTAGAGAATGGTCCAGGACGGACCGAAACGTCGTCGTCTCTTCACTTTCTAGTTATGTGGTCTGGTCAACATTTGCCAGCCACGTTATTGTGACTCATCTCCACTTATCATGTTGGTGAATGTCATTCGCTATGCACTGTAAACAGTTGATTAAAGATGGCGTCGTTCTCGACAGAATGGACTTTTTTCTTGACGATCTCGTTGACTTTGAAAATGTGGCTGAATCTCCCTTGTTGAAGAATTTCGATATAGCGTGTCCCGGGAGGAACCCGAGGGATGGAATTATGCTCCAGATGGCCGAGCTGGCGTCTCCGCCCCGCACCTTAAAGACCCACCTGCCGCTCTCTCTGTTCGCGCCCTCGCTTCTTGAGACTACTAAGGTATTTATACGTGGTCAAGTCAGGTACACACACACACACACAGCCCATACGTCTGGAAATACTCTTGATATTCTGATATTCAGCTCATACGTCTGGAAATACTCCTGATAATGTTCCATGACGGACCGAAACGTCCTCACAGGACCTGAAACGTCCTCACAGGACCTGAAACGTCCTCACAGGACCTGAAACGTCCTCACAGGACCTGAAACGTCCTCACAGGACCTGAAACGTCCTCACAGGACCTGAAACGTCCTCATGTCAGTTATTTTCACATGTGTGGGTTGGGTGTGGGAACTTCAGCCTCGTTATTGCAACTTACTAGCTGTGTAAAGTTAGGTGCTAAGATGACACGTCAGAAAACGGAGAAACGACGACGTTTCGGTCCATTATAAAGTCGTCTGATGACTTGAAGTAACGTCATATCTTCAGCCACGTTATTGTGACTCATTGTCTGCTGAGGTGTTAATGTGTGTGTGGCCTCCTGACTGACAAAACTATATTAGCCAATGATCCTTGCTTCTCAGTATGAATTAACCTGACACTTATGGATTAAAGAAAAACTTAGCACATGTATTGACGTATATACTACTACAAAACTTCCTTAAAATTCTAGGTATTATGCAACATGCAATAATAAAACACGGTCATGTACCATACAATAATACAATGAGACATGTATTCCAATGCTAATACTATTTGGCTATGTATCACGCAATAATATAGAGGAGTCACGCATCAGTTACAAATACAGGGTCGTCATTAACACATGTTGTTGTTGTCCAGGTGGTGTACGTGGCCAGGAACCCCAAGGACGTGGTGGTCTCCTTCCACCACCACTCACGAATGATCAAGGTGCACGGATACGTGGGATCCTTTCCTGATTTTGTCCAGTACTTTGTGGACGACAACTGTAAGTTTACCGCCACGTTATCACAGCTCGATGGGCGAGATCACACATTTGCTCTGCTTGTCAGCTACAAATTGTAAACATTTAAGCAATTCGAGTAATATTTCTGCATGGATTTGTTGGCGAAGGATTCCTAGTAATCGTGACTCTCTTATACGTGTATTCAGAACTCGTAGTTTCAGCTTTATCGAGTAATGTAGCTGTTCAACATTTCTAAGTTATCTCCCCTCTCCCCCTTTTTTTAGTTTTAAAATTGGTCCAGTTGTTTACACCCATTCCAGTGTTCAAAGTCTTATATGTTATTTTATCTAATGACTCTGCAAAAGCTTACCGTGTCCCCCTGTCCCTCTAGACAGGAGACAGCTTAAAGAGTTCCAGTTATCCACGAATGGTATTGCATTGTTCACCGAACACTCTCCGGTATGTTGCTTTACACCCATCACTCTTGGCGTCCACTACACCTTCCAACTCTCAACCTTGGCACGACCACTACACATGACCGGAACTTATCCTTGATCATAACTAACACTATATTTATCCACCATTCTCAGAAATTACTCATTCTGTCATCTATATTTATAGTCTCGCAAATCATACCCTAATTTTATTTCTTGCATTCCTAGAATAAAGGCCATATTCCTGTAGCACATTTGCAAATCTCCAACAACCATTATCCTCCTTTTTTTGTTGTTGTTATTATGATGTACACCTTTTCTGGTAACGAGGCTCCTGCTCAAGGTCGCAACTTGGTTCCCAATACATTTTTTTTTTGAGATTTCCACTCGAGTTCTCTGCTAGAAATGTGAAGTGGTCCGGTGTCTCACCCACTCTCCTTCTTGCACGTCTGGTCGTTCTGGCTCCTCGTTTACCATTCTCTAACTGTCCTTCAGGGTATGTTGCTGTTCATCCTTATTGTTCATCCTTAGACGTGAGCCCCCTTGCCTGTCTGTCTCTGGACTTAAGCCCTAGACAGAGCTCATGCAGGACTTGAGGCGAGAGGTATCATTTGAGCCATTGTTGATTACAAGAATAGTCACTGGAGCCAGAGAAACACAATCATGCCCGAAAAGCTTTGCGTATTAGTGGTTTTTAGGCATAGTATATACTAACTGTATCTAGAAATCCAACATTCATCTTGTAAGTCATTTTGTATGTGTGTGTACTTTTCGTAAATATTATTATTAACTGCCTTTGACATGAGCCAACGACATTCTGTGACAAGTATCAGTGTCACGTTTGACTGGAGTCCACACACTCATTTATGTCACCGACATATGTCTTCCTCTTCCTAGTGATGAAAAGTTAGTCTTCCTAGTTCCTAGTGACAGAAAAGAGGGCTTGGGGGGGGGGAAGAAATAGCCTAAGCTACTATCCCTTTGATATGTATTTCTTGCTTATCTCAATAAACATACTTGAACTTGAACTTGAAGAGGGCTTATGTGACCTCCATCTCTCATCCTTTTTCCAGTGGCGTACGGGCCGTACTGGCTTCACCTGAAGGAAGCGTGGGAGAAGCGACACCACCCCAACCTGCACTTCGTCTTCTACGAGGACCTCAAGGAGGACATTATGGGAGAACTAAGGAAGCTCAATGACTTCCTCGGCACTGAACTAACCGACAATCAGCTCAATAACGTGGCGAAACATTCCAGCTTCAGCGAGATGAAAGCTAGAGATGCAATGGGGTTAGACAAAGATGAAACCCTTTGTGACCAAAAAGTGATCAGTAAAGAAGGAGGCTTCTTCAGGAAAGGTAAAATGCTCCCGAACACACACACACACATAAACCGTCAGTAGTTTCAAAGCGTTATATGACAAAGAGTGCTGGGAAGACGGGACACCACGAGCGTAGCTCTCATCCTGTAACTACACTTAGGTAATTATACACACACACACACACACACACACACACACACACACACACACATACACGTACGTGGGCCTGACGGCTGAGTGGACAGCGCTCGGAACTTGTAGTCGTAGGATCCGGGGATCGAGTCTCGGCGGAGGTTGAAACAAATGGGCAGAGTTTCTTTCACCTTGATGCCTCTGTTCACTTAGCAGTAAATAGGTACCTTGGAATTAGACAGCTGCTACGGGCTGCTTCCTGGGTGTATGTGAAAAAACCAGTCGATTGACAATTGAAAGGCGAGCCCAAAGAGCCAGAGCTCATCCCCCTCAACTAGATGAACTAGGTTGATACCGGACTCAACTAGGTGTGTGTACTAGATGAGTACACACACGAGAAAAAGTTGTCATGATCTAAAACGTCAAGGCAAACACACAACAAACATTTTCAAGCAACAATTTGGAAGACGGCCAATATAGTCTCTATATACAAGAAGGGTGATAAACAGGAGGCGCTGAACTACATAGTTACATATGAACTACACTGAACTATTTTTGGTAGGGACGCGAGTCTTATTTTCCTCGGCGTCAACCCTTTTATATGAAAGGAACCGTCGGAAATGCATCCGAGGTGCCGTGTGGTTTGTCGCCTCCTCGTTGGTGGAGAGAGTCCCTAACCCTAACTTGCATACCATACAAGCTGATGGAGAAGGCTGAGCGAAAAAAAAACTAGTGGAACATTTGGAGCGAAAGAACTTTGTAACACACAACAATAGCAGGGGTTCAGGGATGGCAAGTCATGCCTCACAGGATTAATTGAATTCTATGACTAGGCAACACATATCATGCAAGATAGAGAGGGCTGGGCAAACTGCATATTCATGGATTGCCAGAAAGCCTCTGACACCGTGCCACATAAGAGACAGGTGCACTGGCAGGGAGTGAAAGGGAAGGTACTCCACTGGATGGGGAAAGTCTCCGAGTGGCGAGGCGTCACCAGTGGAGTCCCACAGGAATCAGTCCTTGGAACTATACTGTTTCTGATATTTAAATGATCTCCCAGAGGGAATAAACTAGTTCCTCTCAATGGTTGCTGATGATGCAAAAATTATAAGGAGGATTAAGACAGAAGGAGATAGCATAAGGCTACAAGATGACCTAGACAGACTGAAGGAACGGTCTAACAAATGGCTACTGAAGTTCAATCCATGTAAATGTAAAGTGATGAAACTAGGCGGAGGAAATAGGTCAGACACTGGATACCGAATGGGAGAAAAAGATCTTGGGGTTGATATCACACCAAATCTATCTCCTGAAGTCCACATCAAAAGATAACACCGGCGGCGTATGCGAGGCTGGCTAACATTAGAACTGCCTTCAGAAACCTGTGTAAGGAATACTTCAGAACCTTGTATACGACATATGTAAAGCCAATCCTGGAGTATGCGGCCCCAGCATGGAGCCCGTACCTTGTAAAGCACAAGACGACGATGGAAAAAGTTCAGAAGTATGCCACTAGGCTAGTCCCAGAACTAAGAGGCGTGAATTATGAGGAAAGGCTGCCTGAACTGCACCTCATGTCGCTGGAAGACCGATCGGGGAGACATGATCACCATACACAAAATTCTCAGGGAAATTGACAGGGTAGACAAGGGTGGACTATTTAACACGGGTGGTACACGCACAAGGGGACACAGGTGGAAGCTGAGCACCCAAGTGAGCCACAGACATTTTGAGACATTAGAAAGAACTTTTTCATTGTCAGAGTAGTTAGTAAATGGAATGCACAGGGAAGTTATGTGGTGGAGGCTGACTCCATACACAGTTTCAAATGTAGATATGATGGAGCTTGAGAAGCTCAGGAATCTGTACACCAGTAGATTGAGTATTGAGAGGCGGGACTAAAGAGCCAAAGTTCAACCCCCGCAAGCACAACTAGGTTATCTTGAGATGATTTCGGGGCTTTAGTGTCCCCGCGGCCTGGTCCTCGACCAGGCCTCCACCCCCAGGAAACAGCCCGTGACAGCTGACTAACACCCAGGTACCTATTTTACTGCTAGGTAACAGGGGCATAGGGTGAAGGAAACTCTGGCCATTGTTTCTCGCCGGCGCCCGGGATCGAACCCGGGACCACAGGATCACAAGTCCAGCGTGCTGTCCGCTCGGCCGACCAGCTCCCCATGAGGTGAGTAAAAGACGATCACAATGTTGTTAACGTTACTACAAACGTTAGAACGAAGTAGAAGTAGGAGTACGAACACGAAATGTGCGAACGTTTGGACATAATATTGTAGAAACGTTCTGTATATAGACATAATCCCTATCATTGTGTCGTTTCCAGGAGAGACTGGAAGCTGGAAGGCAAAACTCACGCCAGAGCTGGAGGATAAAGTTGACAAGTGGATTACCCGCCACCTAAACGACTTCGGAATCAACTTTAAATATTGCCTGTGAGCGACATGACCCCTTACGGCGCTGACCACGTAGCTAAGGTCAGCGGCCAGATGCTGCGACGCGGCTACTGCTCTCACTATCACCATTCTCAATGCTCACTTGATACACATTTTAAATTAAGATTTCACTTATTTAAAAAAAAATAATAAATTTGAAAGGCAAAATTTTAAATGTCCCTCTGTAACCCTTTCCACTACCGCCCACAAGATGGGTATGAGGTGCATAATAAATGAACTAAACTAACTAAATAGTATATATATATTAAACATGCAACAAATCGCATGAAATATATTAGGTACTGTTTATGTTGGATATGATGTTATGATACATGATTCAGCATAGCGTTGCCTGAAACGCTATATAGAATTATGTAATCCAGAATTAATCGTAACATTTTGTTAGTGTTCACCAAAAAACATTGTCATTTTCTCTTAAAAAATCAAAGAAAATCGTAAATAATTTAAGATAACCTAATAACAAAATGGAAAAAAATGTTTTAAAACATTACATTTTCGTAATATTTTAGTAAATGATAATACCACTTGTTTTAAAAAAAAATAATTAATAACTTTTATGTATAACATGGTTTATCTTTTTTTATGCAATAGCCAGATAAGTGTAAAAATCATGATAATTATTGGCATTTTTTTATGATCAAAACCAAATTCACCAATTTGCAAATTGGAAAAAAAAATAAATAAACCGTTTTCTAAGAGCTTGGGTGTACGAAACCATTTTTTTTTTCCCGCCACCAAATGTGTTTAAGAGCCAACTCTTTTTTCCTGCTAAATCCCCACGTTTAAGAAAAGATGCTCACCACGAACCGGACAGAAACAAGGCTGCACCAAAGCAATATCTACCGCCACTGGTGTACACCAGAAGACTCGCCAGCAGACACATACGGTACAGAGTACTGTCTGTACCGTACCGTACCGTACCGTACTGACCTGATAAGAGCCGCACACTTCGCAGACGTCCAGGTCGTAGAGCGGGTACACCTCCATCAGCGTCATGTTGAAGCGCTCTGGTCGTCCGCCATTCGGGGAATACAAACTCGATATTAATATACGGCAGAGTTCAAGTTCAAGTTCAAGTATATTTATTGAGATAAGCAATAAATACATCTCAAAGGGATAAAGTAGCTTAGGCTATTTCTACCCCCCCTTATATACGGCAGAGTACCCCCTTTTACATAGCTCTTGCTCTTATAATTAAGCAAAGGCTAATTATGCTACTGCTCTTCAAGTTCAAGTATGTTTATTAAGACAAGAAAAAGTATATCTCAAAGGGAGAGCGTAGCTTAGGCTATTGCTACCCCCCCCCCTTATATGCCTGTAACTAAAGGTTCAATAATCTCTATAACACGATGGTTCATTATACTTTTGTTAAATTTTGTTCAATGCACGCATCTATTTGGGATGGTAAATAACTTATTGTTGTTTTGCTTTCTACTACGATTCTAACTACTATTTACCTCTGCCCCTAATTTACCAATGAAACCTAATATAGTTTACCTACATTCGTTTCGTCACTGGATCATCAAATATTCCATCTAGCTATCAATGTCTGCTATTATCTACTAACTAAATACAGAGAGAGAGAGAGAGAGAGAGAGAGAGAGAGAGAGAGAGAGAGAGAGAGAGAGAGAGAGAGAGAGAGAGAGAGAGAGAGAGAGAGAGAGAGAGAGAGAGAGAGAGAGAGAGAGAGAGAGAGAGAGAGAGAGAGAGAGAGAGAAGAGTAGAGTAGAGTTAGCCGCGTCAGGCTAAGATAAGTTGCCATCTACGACACCTCATGGGCCTCACCTGGCTGGTAGAGATCGTAGACTTTAGCCATGTTGTAGCGGGAGTGGTTGGCGACGGGGTACCAGCGCTCGATCACGTACGTGAGACACGTCTCCCTCGTGTCCAGCTGAGAGAGGCACCAGCTCAATACACCCAACATAATACTGTATTGTACTGTCATCAAATTCGAATACAATGTAATAAAATTCATTACAATATAATGTAATTCAGATAGATTATCATAGGGGGTGTGTGTTGTGAACTTCAGCTCTTAGAATTATCCTACCAATGCGTTCTTCCTAATGTCAATATGGTTCTTATGAGTCTTTTTAGTTTCCTCCCGCGGCCTCCTATCCTACTGAATCTCATTTCGAGCATTGCCTCTGTGCCCATCTTATTAATTTCCCGGTTTACATCTTGCAAGTTGCTATCATATATCTCTTGCTTTGTCCTTATCTTCAACGTGGTGAGGCAGAGTTCTTGGCGGCGTTTCTTGCAAGTTCTCACAAGCCTGGTACACACCTTGGCGAGTATACGTCAACTTTTTTCAGGTCTCTTGATGAGGATTTCAGCCTGAAGTTTTCTACTTTAAAGGTTGGTCTCACGTAGGTTGTTTAATGTTCTGAAGGCCTTTTTTGTCCAAATTCCCAAGATAAAAAAAATGTCAGAAATATTTTTATGTAACCCATTTGTACCTTTATTTTCCGTTGCTTCTCTGTTTAATTGGTAAATTCCCCTTAGAAATGTTGTATGTTGTTAACATGTCTCCCCTGTCTTTCCTTTATTGTGGTACGATCCAGTTCTTTCTGTCTTCACAGCTCAGTCCCTTTAACTCAGAAGCGAACTATGCGGTATATCTTTGAAACTACTCTTGTTATGTTTCGTCCTTTATGTGTGTGGAGGGGGGGAGACGCATATCACATACCGGGGAAGCATACTCGAGAACGGGTCTCACATAGGTTGAACATATAATTCGGAAGGTTTATTGAAGTTCTTGAAGGGTATTTGGAAGTTGACCAATTTGGCGTAGGCTGCCGAGGTTATTCTGGAGTCCACGGGTTACATGTAGAAAATGAATTAGCTACCAACTCAGTGCTTCCAAACGCCTAGTGAGTTCGGGCGGATTCTAGCTCGTGCAGCTTTTTCCTATCCTGGTCCATGGGTTAAGGCGCGCTTCTGAGGTGACCAAGCACGCTCTTCGTCGATCCTGCTGTACTACTCCAAGGATTACCTCGAGTATATACGAGAATTTGTTAGGCAGTACGTGTACCTATGCAGGCGATGAATCACAATAACGTGGCTTGACCAGACCTAAAGTAAGTGCACCAGTAGGTGCACTATGTGTACCTATATTAAGCCAATGCAGACCAAAACAACACTCACATGTTTGAAAAAGAATTTGACGTGCGTGTTGGTCCTGAGGGCCCAGCGGAGGTTCCTGACGGTGCGGGAGTTGACCAGGGCGATGAGGTCGTCCTGCATGACGTAGTAGCCGGATGGGAGGTGGACCTCCACCACGGCCACTCCACTCGTCATGGCCTCCTCCGTGTTCCTCCACCTATACACCCCACACAGTCATCATGTTAGTGTACAGTATGTTGTGTCTAATAGCCAAAGCTGCACTACTAGGCCTAGTAGGCTAAGTTCGTTTTGCTTAATATTTGTTAATTTTTAATATCTCTGGAAACTATCGTCAGAGTTTAGTGATATGAACAGATTATATTAATAACTACTTTATTTAGACCTAGGTTTGCTTGCATTAAACACAGTTGTGGAATAATTAGCATATTTATCGTTATGTCAGATTGATAGTTTTGTTCAGATTATAAAATAAATATATATCAATATATATATATATATATATATATATATATATATATATATATATATATATATATATATATATATATGATATATATATATATATATATATATATATATATATATATATATATATACTATAAAAATATATATCAACACATGATAAAATTTCGAACAAATTCAAAGTTAAAAAAAAAAAATAGGCTTATAAGGCAACTCTGGCTATTATGCACAATATATACGCACACACATAGAGAGGAATTCATCTCTTCAGCGCCCTAACACACATTATAACCAATGAACAACCTATATACAGTCCTATGATACTAAGACAGATCACACTATATAAGAAATCACTCAAGTATCACTTAACACTATATGTGAAAAATACTCTTCCAATGCTATTTTATTTAATTGTAAGAAATAGCAGACAACTAAAATAAATGCCTCCTTAAAATGCCTGGAAATTTTTCAGCCTAATTTTTGTGCTAGATTATGAAGGGTTCTCTTAAATTCTTTCTTTACCAGTTACAAAATACAGTTGATATGAAAGAAACAGTTTTTAGCATTACCTAAAACTATGAGGATTTTTTTTTAACACGAACATAAGAACTTCCCACAGACTACGGTAAGCAAAAAGAGAGTGTGGTAGAAAATAGCCTAAGCTGCTCTATTCTTTTGGGAGGTATTGTATTACCTTTGTAAACTTACTAGAACTTGAATGGTACGCAAACACCCGATGGCTCATACAGTCATACCTCTGACAGGTGGTGATCTCCAGATGGGAGTTGTTCCTTCCGGAAAACTTGGAGACGACAGTGAAGTCGAAGGCCTGGACGGGAGGTTGGTCGAGCAGGGGCTCATCATCGACGCCATAGCTGTAGTCGAGCTGGACCAGCGCCTGGCCAGACCCGCGTCCCACTATGCTAATGTGGCCCCAGATCTTCTCCAGCTGTGTAAATATATGCAGATATTGAATTAGTGAGAACCCTTAACCACGGGGAAGATAATAAACGGCACTCGAGAGAGCAATATAATGATATTAGCTGCACGCAAATGTTGCATAGTTACCCTCCCAACAAGCACACACACACACACACACACACGGGTGTGTGTGTGTGATGTGTGATTCACACACATGTGTGAACACAATACTTCACATGAGAGAAAAACAAGCAGGCATTTGAAAAAAGTACTTTAGTCAATAATGGAAGAGACAAGAAGGGGCTAACCTTAATTATACAATTGACTGACAAACATCCATTGTAAAATACGGACAACAAAGTGACGCAGAGAAGAAAATATTGTAACTGAAAAACCTTATAGAATTCTATGATTCACCAGGACTACACAGAGAGGAAAACTAGGTTTACTGCATCTTCCTAGATTGTTGGAAGGTCTTTGATACTGTCATCAAGAGAATGTTAATTAAACCAACAGTGAAGATGGGTTTTGGAGGCCTTTGATATACATGAAGAGCAGAGAGTCATTCTCTGAGAGATGCAACAATGGCAGGAGATAATCAACGGGATCTTGGATACCTGTGTCCATCACTGTTCCTGATATATGTGAACAACACACCAGAGAAAGTGGACTCCACTATGTCAATAAATAATAACGAGAAGAATGTGAACAATTGAGAATTCAACAATCTTCAGGTTTTAAAGAGTAACCAGATGAATGGTTACTCGAGTCCGACCCAAATGAGTGTACAGTGATGAGAACTAGAACAAAAATAACAACAAAAGCCGTACAGCTTATGGAGAAATCAACTATCTTTGAAAAAATTAAGAAAAGCTTTAAAAGTGAACATCATACCAAGTCTAATATCAAACACACATATATACACATGTGTGTAAATCACGAAAAATAAACACGTGATTAAAAATGTGACAGTGTCAGACCACGGAGGAAAATTGAAACAGGAATTTCCTTAAGTACTTTCGTATATTAATAGACTCCTTCTGAAGATGTATTAATATACGAAAGCACTTAAGGAAATTCCTGTTTCAATTTTCCTCCATGGTCTGACACTGTCATATATACACATGTCCGAGGTGCCACTCAGCGCCATCAACAAAACAGAAGCAGCAGATTCCATCACACACAAAATCCGGGAGACTTACGTCGAAGGACCTCATGGCGGCGAGGTCGAGGGAGTCGCCGCCCAGGTAGACGTCGGCGGTGAAGTTGGGGTTGGCGGAGTGCTCGAGGGTGACGCGCATGTCAGTGACGTCCCGGAGCCGGGCGCGGTAGGAGTACTCCACCAGCGCCTCCATCGCCGCCACGCTATCCTGTGCAGGAAGGGAGAAGGAATAATAGGTGGAAGGAGCAAGCATGATGAGGGGGAGATAAAGGAAAAAAGAAGAGTAATAAAATCACAATAATAAATGTAGAATTTGCACTAGACACCACACTACATGGGGAAACCTTTCCCATGTAGTGTGTGGGAAAAATTTACACATGTCCCATGTGTAAATTAGGGCTCTTATCGCAGATACTTGGTGCTGGTGATTATCTGTAACACTAACTTATCTGAGAAAAAGGACTGAAGACAAGTGCGGAATTACGTAAGTGCAATATATTGTTATCCGTAAAATGTGAGGCTGCTATGGAAATAGAAGAGTAATACAAGGTGGAAACAATTTAAAATATAGTTTTAGATTTTAGGAATTTATTGTATAAAAAGCATGTAAATAATATTGAAAGTAATCTGTTGAAATCACAGCTTACTAATGATGCATAAGGAGGCACTTCGTCAGTGTATGAGCAGTGAGCAATTAGAATGAGCTAGAGGTGATGGCAGGTGAAGCCCACTCCATACATAGTATCGAGATTAGATGTAATTCAGACAAGAGAGTCGGGGAACCTTTCTAGCAGTTGAACGGTGATCTACCATAGCTTAGTACATGCACTAAGGAACAGAACTTACTACAGTAAGTTTGGAGCTACTTCCACTACCTCAACCCCCCCCCCCCCCCCACACACACACACACACACACACACACACACACACACACACACACACACACACACACACACACACACACACACACACACACACACACACGATAGCCTAGCTCGTCTTCTCACCAGAGTGGAGATTAACCCGCCGTCCAGCTCCCTCATGACGGCCAGGAACCTGACGATGTTCTCCTGGATGATGCCTATGCCCTCCCTGGCGACGTAGACCAGCAGTGCGTACGAGGTGGTCTCTACGGCATGAGCGTCCCACTTCTGGTCGTCCTTGGGCTGAATGAAGGGCTTCTGGCTGTTCTCGTAGATCAAAGAGTTGAAGGTTACAGGCTCGCGAGACCAGTAGATCTTATTGCCTGAGGGAGATATAATTGCAGTTTAATACTAACTCCCAGAATTTTAAATTTTCATAGCACTGGCCGTCATAGCACTGGCCGATGCTGAAGCTTAAGTAGAATAAGAAAGATATCCAATATCGTGCAGCAGTATTCAAGTGCTTGAAGCGTAAACCATAAGTCAGGGAAAATTACTCTTTATCTTGTACTTTTTAATGTAGACAACAGCTAAGCCTGTTATTGTCGAGTTGAGCCAGTTGTTTAACCTGACACTGACAGTCTGTGTATAAGTATTTCTTTATCACCTACAAGCAGCAGCATTACATCCTGTTGACGGTTGGACTGGGCCAACAGGGTAAAAATAATGCCCTTGAGACTTTATGGACTGAACTTAAGTCTCAAGGCATTCTAAAGTCTCAAGGGCATTGCACATACAGGATGTCAAGGAAATGGTTCGGAGTTTGTGTGAACTGGGCTTGGGTATGGATATTGCGAGTTCCTATGCCCAGCGATTAGTTAAGTCACCCTGCCTCAAGCTTTGATTAAACAGCTCCAGCAGAGCTTGGCAGCTTAACCAGGACTCTCATGGTATTGTATGTTATTCCATCCCCCTCTAGGAGAGGTAACCTTATCTTTTGTGAGTGTCTTTTGTATTTCAAAGGAAAAAATTTTATTGCTATAGTCTGGCCATATCATAACAGGCAATTTTAATACTGAATTTACGATTTACATTTGTAATATGAAGATAGTGTTGCATATTCAGTGGTACTCTTCGCATAGTGGCAATACTTGCATATTGTTGAAGCAGCATGTCGATACAGACTGCAGGTAAATGGTGAGCATGTTGAGGAGTCTCTTGGTGCAGAATTTTTTTTCAATTCAGACCACATTTGAGCTAAGAATGTTGCATGATTGAAGCCTTGCAGAAATGTATCCAAGTACTGATTATAGAGCTCTTCGTTTAGCTCTAGAAACTCATGGTTGACGTTTGGAAATGAATGGATGTTTTGTTTTCTCTATACCATTGAGGTAAGAGAAGAACTGCCATGTCCTTTGTTTGTTGTCTTAGATCCTGTGGACCTGACAATGTTGCCACAGTTAACAGTTACAAGGTTCTCTTATAATGCATTAAGGAGCAGTAAACGAGTAGAATTTAAACCAATCACAAATACAGGTGTTGACTGCATGTTTAGATTTTCAGATATATTGATTAATTTTATGTCATTACGTTGGGAGGGGGATTGATTAACATCATTTATGATATATAAGCAGAGGATTTTAAAATGATTACTAACTTGTCCATGTACCAACGATCCGCGGAGATCATTGTCAATGAGGCTATATAGCCTCATTGATATCATTATATCAATGAGGCTATATAGCCTCATTGATATCATTATATCAATGAGGCTATGGATCAGAGACTGAGGCTGAATTGATCAGCCTCAGACATAAATGAGTCTGGCAGTCATGTGGTGAGACACTTGTCACTTACCATCCACCCTCTTCAGGGAGTCGAGGAGGCTGAAGGCCGCCTCCTTCTTGGTGGAGTCGGCCTTGGTGAGGGCCCAGGCCACCAGCGCCACGTCGTAGGGGTCCTGCAGACCCTCCAGCTCCCGCTCCAGGTATCTGTAGACAAACATAGCCTAGCCTGTATTTTTTGGAGTACGCGGCAACACTGGTATACCATCAAAATAAAACACTATTTTGTGTTCTATTCAGTGGTGAATGTTGTTTGGTTGAGCAATTGCCTCTAATTGGCATAAATAACAAAAAATGTATCCTATTTAAAACTTTGGCTACATTGACTTTCAAACTAGGTCTGATAATAATTCCAAGCTGCACCTTTCATATACGTCTGGCACAATCTATTTGGGGGAATGTCGTCCGAGGGGGCGCTAACCCCTGCGTCTAGCCCCGAGGATGATACCTACGCGATGGCGCTGGCCTTGGCTATGTTGATCTTAGTCCTGGTGTTGCCCTGGAGGCTGGGGATGATGTTGACCAGGGCGAGCACCACCTGCGCCGTCAGAGACACGTTCCTGCGGCCGTCACGCTCCAACCGGTAGGCGGGCTGCAGGGGGGATACCAGCAGTGTTAGCACTAGTATAAACTGCTGCACACACACACGAACAATATGGAAAAAAGTAAACATAATTCCAATCTACAGAAACAGAGAAGACCTTCTATAAGCTGTAGACCTGTATCACTGACAAGCGTGGTAGTAAAACCACTAAAATAGTTTAATTATATTTAAATGGGCAGAATACATGGAAAGAAACGACATAATAACGGACGGAAAATTTGGTTTTCGAACTGGATAGTCTTGTCGAACAAATCTTCTTAGTTTTTACAATAGACACAGACATATTACAAGAGAAGGTTCGGCCGTTGCACATGCTTGGCCCTATAAAAAAAAAGTCTGTGACATCTCCACAAAGAGATATTTCTGAAAGTTGTAACACAATAAAGGGGGTGACAAGCAGACTACTGAATTGGATAAACAAATTTCCAATTAACAGACAAATGCGAGCAGAAGCTATGTATCTGTCAGAAGAAATGTCACCAACGGAGTACTTCAAGGTTCGTTTCTTGCATCGGTAATGTTTATTATCCATATAAAACATCTACCAGAGGAAACCAGAGTTGCATGAATTTGTTTGCAGATAAATGATGCTAAATTGCTAAGGAGAGTCAGGGGACTTACATGACTGCCTTACCCTCCAAAATGACCCAGACAAAATTTGTGAATGGAGCCACCAATGGCAGATGGAATTCAATGTAAATAAATGTCACGTTATGAATGTGGAATAAGGGAGAACAAGGAAGAACTTAACCTATAAAGTGTGTGAAAAACGATATTAAAAACCTCTGGCAAGGAAGAGATCTAGGAGAGGCTTAGGATAGTAAACTGATGTCGAAGGATTATGTAAAGGCCATTATGAGAGAAGTTACGATACAAAGGCAAATTATATTTTCTACTTAAATATTAAGATAGAGAAATATTAAATATAGTCCACAACATTCGTGAGACCAAAGTTGGAATATGCAGCTGCGATGTGGTGCCTATACTCCAAGTGGCACATAAATAAACTAGAAAACATGCAAAGACAAACCGAGCTCACTAGCTCGGTTGACAGAGCAACCGTCTTCTGTGCCTGGGGTTGGTGGTTCCTGGATCCTAGTGCCCGGATGAATGAAGTGCAAAAACATGCTACTTAATAAAGTAAAAACATAAGTACAAACAAAGTACAAGTAAAATCAAATATAAAATGCTTCAAAATACACACACTCAACATTTCTAAGCTACCTATACAACCTTCCACTCTAACTCCCCCCCCCCACCACCTTATATTAGTAAACAGTCTAGTGTAGGCTACTGACGGTGGGGTTGGCCTTGGAGTCGAGTGGGTGGGTGTAGTTGGGTGTCTCGGCGAAGGCTCCCGCCGGCGTCTGGTACTCCAGCAGCCACTTCGCCGCCATGGTGATCAAGGCGGGGTCGATGTAGATCAGGTTCTCCCAGTCCTGCCACACACAAACACAGGGGTTAACAGTAATATATAATGCCAGCCCATACACAGTGTATATATATATATATATATATATATATATATATATATATATATACATAAAATTGAGGGCTCTTACAAAAGTACACCCTAGTCGATGACCGAAAACCTGATTGGCTTATCGAGGTCCTCGCCTGCCCTTCCGGACACCATTCCAGTTTCTGGCTGGACCCAATGGTGAGTACCTGACTTACCGAGAAGCTGCCTCGCATTAACTCAAGAGCCAATATGCAGGCTTCCTGCCCCTCATACAAATGGAAACCATAACTACGTGATATAGCGAATGATGTGTGATCACGTAGTTAATTGTGGTTTTCCCTTGTAAAACAGGAAACCTGCAGAAGGCTTATTTCATCAATGCTATATTAACAGAAGTCACCAATGCTTGGTGACTTCTGTTTACACCAAACTAACGTTGCTGATGAATAGTCTACCCAACGATGAAAACAATCTAACGATCCCACTTTTATTGTTACACGGTAATTAATTTCATAAATTGATTAAAATATTCCGGTCGGAATTTACCACGGTCTTTTCTGAAAAGAATTTGCGCAGAGGAGTGAGGGAACTTATTGTATATCCCTCATACATCAACACAAAATAGAACACGAAATAATGCCACAATATTGATTCTTGTTCTACTTTGTGTTTGTATATATATATATATATATATATATATATATATATATATATATATATATATATATATATATATATATATATATATATATATATATATATATATATATATGAAGCTGTGTTCCATCAGCCCTCTACAGATATTCTCTGCTCAAACGTCCTGAGGGAGGAGTGAATAGAGGCCGACTTGGAGGGTCCTGAGAGAGGCGGAGAGGAACGCACCTGGAAGCTGGCCAGCCAGAGTATCCTGAGGGAGTAGGCTGTGAGCCACACACTTGGCCCAGACTCTGGCCACATCCTGAAGGCGCCGTCTTCGCCCTGGTAGCGGGCCAGGGCGGCGTACTGCACGTTCACCGCCGTCAACACCTGAGGAAAGGGGCGCTCTTACCTTCCTGGTCAAATCCTATGTAGTTTATAATAAAAGGAAAACTAGAAACTTATTTTTGGGGGGCTTCGATATTTTGCAAGTGCTATTGAAACCTGAGTATTTATTATCCGGTTGCAATATTAGAACTTTCTCTCTAAGCATAATAGAACAATTAATAATGGGCTGTCCTTCCCATTAATGAATAAAATCAGAGAATAATTAACAGCAAAGGGTGCCTACATGAGCATAAAACACACACACACACATACACACACACACATACACATGGTGTTTCAGAGTCCCCATCTGAAGAAGCATATAATGAAACTGGAAAAGGTTCAGAGGTTTGCAACGAGCCTCGTCCCAGAGCTACGAGGGATGGGGTATGAGGAGCGCCTGAGGGAACTGTGCCTTACGAAAGAAGAAGGGAGAGGGGGGACATGATAGGAACGTATAAGATACTCAGAGGGATTGACAGAGTGGACATAGACGAAATGTTCACACGGAATAGTAACAGAACGAGAGGACATGGATGGAAGCTTGAAACTCAGATGAGTCACAGAGATGTTAGGAAGTTTTCTTTTAGCGTGAGAGTAGTGGGGAAATAGAATGCACTTCAGGAACAGGTTGTGGAAGCAAATACTATTCATAATTTTAAAACCAGGTATGATAGGGAAATGGGACAGGAGTCATTGCTGTAAACAACCGATGCTCGAAAGGCGGGATCCAAGAGTCAATGCTCGATCCTACAGACACAACTAGGTGAGTACAACTAGGTGAGTACACACACACATACACACACATACACACACACACACACACACACACACACACACACACACACACACACACACACACACACACACACACACACACACACACAACACACACATGAAGAGCTAATGCTCGATCGTGCAAGCACAAATAGTGAGTACACACACTATATTTTTATATATGTATAAAACGTTCTTATCACAATTTTGAACATTTTAAATTTTGTCCCTTTTGCTAAAATGTATTCATGTAGTTGGTGTTGATTAAGTAATGTCTCTGATATAAACCCCCTAATTTACACTTACCTCAAATATAATGACAACTGAACAAATTCATTAATCCCTTTTGAACATCTTAACAGACATTTTTATAAGTAATTTGGTACACAATAATCACCGAGAAATCCAAAACAAAATAGTTCCCCTAGAAGACTCTACTCTTCAAATGTTGGTTTAATTTTCATCCTGATGAGGAACGCCATTCTGACAGCGGTCTCAGATACCAACAAATACTTGGACAGAACAAGGAAAAACATTTGATTCGAGACTTGCAATGGTAGAAACCTTTATGTCCCTCAAAACCTATAAACATTCACTCTATTCTTGTTCTTAGGCACATAAATTATACATTTCCCCTAAAACCTTCTTAAGCGAAACACCATGACTATAGGAATAAAATATAGTTGATCTACCCGAGTAAGGCAGTACCTGATAGGTGAGACCGGGCTTGATTTGGTTGGTGAGACGGAGGTAGTGAAGTGTCAACAGGTTGGCTGCGAAGTTGTAGGCTGTCGTCTCTGCCCCCATCACCTCCATCCCCAGCAGCGAGGTGCTCCCTACTGGCACCTCTGGGAACGCCGGTCCCACCACGTCCCCTGCGCAGGTAAGCCACAAATATCAAACTATAGAAACAACATTTAATGATTCGCAAACCACACAATATCAGGTAAGGCCACCACAGCCACTAACAATAATTCAAATGGAAGTAACTGCAGAAGTTGAGTGCTAGGCTTGTTTGGCTTTGGGCTTAAGGCCTATCAAACTCTGGAGGGTTAAAGCCACCACAATTGGGTTACTGAGCAACCAGAGTGTATACGTTTGTCCTGAACGTAGTCCAGGACAAAAGTATAATCATTGTGTATATACTCCAAAATGCGGGATACACCTGTCGGTGTATTTACCCCAGTGTCGAGTGCTTACCGGTGACGGAGATATGGCCACTGGGGGTATCGAAAATGTACCGTCGCTTGAGAGAATAAGGAATGATGGGGGACTCGTCCAGTCCGATATTAAAGAAGTCATACACGACGGCCCGACTTTTCAGATCCAGCAAGATGGATGTGTGCTTGCCGATGGTCGCCCCCTGGAGGATGGGGCAAGCAGGGAGGGGGTTAGTAGAGGAGCGCAACGGCCTTGACTAGAGATATATTGAATGGAAAGGGTATAACACGTCCAACATAGGTGTTCATGTTGAGGGGAATTACTGCATTGCTTGACACACTATGAAATTGACAGACACACTGATGATGAATGATGGTGAGTACATTTATAATAGTGGTGAGTATATTTATAATAATAACGGTGAGTCCATTCATGATCATAATATTTCGCTTTATTCACAACAAAGTCTTGAGGTAGAACAGAGAACTCGTTCAGCCATTTGCAACTGGCACCAAATGATCCAAGCAGGCTATTGCTGGCGTAGGAGTGGGTTATAGGCGCTCACCTCAGAAACAACATCGATAACGATGGTGTGGGAGTCCTTCTGCATCATGGTGGAGCCCTTCACGGTCACCTCTACCTTGCCCTTCCTGGTGAACACCACTGGAAGGTGCACGTCCCTGGACTCCTCCGGCTCCAGCTGCAACACAAGTATCAACGTATCCCCGGTCACCTACACATATAAATATATATCAATAACCTGAGAAGAACGTGACAGAATGTCCGGTTACTGACCCAGACGAGGTGCTGGTGGTCGCCGGCCGCTGTCCGAGGCTGGTAGGAGGCGACGACACCATTCTGTTCCACTAGTACTGAGCGGTAGTCCTTGGACCTAACCAGGGTGATCAGAACCCCCACCTTACTCCTGTGGAAGTTAAACACGCACACCCGCAGCCCCACCTGCTCGAACTGGCGCGCTACGGATGGTCCCTCCAGCGTCAGCAAGAACGGACCCGCCGAGTCAAACTGCCGCCACGGTGAAGATAACCAGTGAGTAAAGGGAGGTAATGGCTCATAATGGTACTAATACAAATAATAAGATAGTAACTTCAATTATTCAAATATTAACAACAATAGTACCAGTATTATGATAGCCAGTTTCTCGTAACTCACAGAGACACACGATACGAGGATACAAGATAACATTATATATTCAGGTCATATAATGTACAAACAAGGGCCGGAAACCCCCGCCAAAATCCTACGTTATCGCAAAAAAATGCTAATAACTCGACCGACGTGCACAGCTGCAAGCCTCCAAGTTCTGTAAACTTCTGGCAATAACTGCTACAAGAAACTTGCTTCACCTGAATTTTCTCCTCCAAGATCCCCAGACCGGTCTCCTTGCCGACGGCGAACATGGACACCACCCACCTCTGCGGTCTCTTGGGGAAGGGGAATACCCGGATCTCCCGCCCCACCCGGCGCAGGTCCTGCCACGCCCAGTCGCCGTCTTCGGGGTCGTAGAAGCGGTGGAGGCGACTGAGGCGCTGAAGGCGGTACTCGCGCAGAGGATCCGCCACCACCGGACCTGCCAAGTGGGGAGTAACATAAATACTGGTGTTAGTAGATGTAACTTTCTTCGCTGTAATTTAACTATTCTTGGGGCAGCGAGAAGCAAGTTAGGGCGTTCAGTTCGCCTTCAGCATACTATTTTAATAAACAATTTAATATCTTTAAGTGGGAAATTAAATTTGTAGAAATTCAGGTAGACAGGTCCGCTACACCACAAATAAATACTACTTGTCTGCTAATTATGATAGCTATAATTAATCATGCAAGCTGCTATAATCATTCCTGATACCAGTGCACTACACTGAACCACACCCAGCTGCAGTAGGCTCTGAACACTAGGCTTGACTCACAGCCGGCCTCATCGGAGCGGTCGGGGCAGGCGAAGACGCCGTCACACCGCTGGTCGTATCTGTAGCAGCCCCCCGTCAGGCACTTCAACTCCCGCTCACCGCACTCCGGCGTCTCTGTAAATAATAGAAAATCTTTCAAGAAATAATACACGCTAAGTAAATGAATGTGGACTCTTGCGCATTCTCTGTCTTCCCGACGTGTCTCGTTCAGGATGGTAATTTCCTGAGCACTTAACAACAGATCTCTGTCACCAGCTTGATAATTACATAATGAACGTACCTTATGGACTTAATCCTGATAGTTAATGGCTGAATATTCGTTATTTAATGTTCATAGCATGGTGAAAATGGTCACATATGTCAACAACAAATTACTGACGTGCCAAAAATAGTTTTTAATACATTTTGGGGCAAATATAGAATACATCCAACTGAGAATTTATTAAATGCAGTAAGAACTTTTTATAGAAAGTTAATTAATATTCTTAGCATGAGTAACTGTTTGTCATGGGATGCACAGCATATAATGTCCAAGGCATATATTAGCAATTCTGACTATAAGAATAATGGAATATGGAGACTGCCCAGTGACCCGTCGATAGTAGCCAAACGTGTAGGCATACACTCTTGACTTCTCCTGACACAGTGAATTCTTTATTATTATTGTTATATCCAACAAATTCCACTCATGTCTAACCAATGCTTGATACTTTACAGTGCGTTTGCTTTTATGTTGTTACTTGGCGACTTTTCCCGCAGACTTCCAGCTATGGTTTCGGACCAGTGTTATTCTTTTTATTTTTTAAAGATATGCTAACCCGTTTTCCATTCATTGCCTCAGGCTCTGACTTGTACTGACATAGTTTTAGATCCTCTTAATGTCCCTGTTTTCAAACTCTTTCATCTATTTGTAAACTTCAATCATGCCGCCACCTTTACGCCTTTATAGATAATGTAAGTTTTGTTTTTTGTATTCTCTTGTCGCAATCGTTGAAATTTTGGAACATATGAGTAGCCTGTAGTCGTGGGTGGATCGTCCATTTTCCTCAGCCGAGAAACGTAGGGGTACCTTTGCTAGTTATAACATTCTTTAAGATAATATAGCTATTTATATTTTTACTCGATATTATAAAACTAATGTTGTTAACGCAATTCCCAAAATCAACATCATTTCATTCTGCTATTATTCATAAAACAAGACATATTTTAAGACCAGGCTCAAAAGATGTAGTCATCTGCTTCAAAAAAGTTTCTCGGCCACGAGGACCATATCCTCTTTGTAATTTGTCATACTGAATATCTTCGCTTTTTAAAAGGTTGTGCCCGAGACCATGGCTTGCATATTCAATAATCAGGTCTCAGGACCACACAAATATGAGCCCTGAGAGCCACAGAGGCGGCCCACCTGAGGCGTGGTGCGGGTGGTAGAAGAGATCGGCGTCCGTCATCACAAAGAGGTCGCTGAAGTTGAAGGTTGAGGGCGCGTCCGGCCCGGCCATCGAAGTGGGAAAGAGGAACACCTTGGCCCCATTACCATCACGCGACCTAATCAGCGATATTAATTAACTCGTTAATTTGAATGTATATATGCACAGAATAAACTGCAAATGTTTTAGGTTGACGGATATGAGACAATTTATATTCAGTGTTTGAGTAGTTACTGGTGAGGCATTATGCACAGACGGACGTTGACCAAAGACGTTGACACAGACGGACCTTGTTGCGGCTCGGCGGACATGGGGCACCGACACGTTCGAGCGCCTCTCGTGCATCGTGTCATTCTTCTCCAGGTCCAGCATGTGGTAGAGAACCCTGGCGGCGTCCAGGTCGTGGCCGGCGTCCATACGGTACGTCTCCTCCCACACGGCCGACACGGCGAAGAAGGCGCCGGGTTCTCCCAGCATCTTCATCTCCGACGACCCACCAGTGTGGTCTTTGTGCTCGTTCCACCGGATGCCCACCTGTGTAAGGGAGGAATGATGAACGTGTTTCTGTGTGATGTCAACACAATTTTCACCCTTTTTCTTCCTATGTCTAATATATCTACTTAGTTCATAATCTAGCGACTATTCAGGTGCTACATAGCCTTCCCGGTTTGGTGCCTTCTATTGATAATTACTTAGCGACTATTCAGCCTACATCAAGGAATCTATTCCACCTATATCTTCCTTATCCTTCTATGTTGTCTACCTGACACTACCTAGTCTCTGCCTGCTCCCTTTTCGGTGGCCTATTCATATATTAGCTATCTCCTCTCTAACCTTATTAGCATACCTACTTTGTATATCTCCACAATGAATTAACCCATTCCATTAACTCTTGTTTTAACCTTACCTTGTGTCTTCCTAGTGGGTTGACGGGGACCACGAGGGCGTGAGAGACGAGCTGGCCGTCCTGGGTCACCACCCACACCACGATGTGGGCGGCCGGAGCCATCTCCGTGGACGCTGGCAGGGAGAAGGTGGTGACAGTGGCCAGTGCGTGGCCGTCTACTGGTTCCCTCCCGCTGTAGATCACAACGCCTTGTGACAACACCTGCGATGAGGTAGCATCATAATGCGATACATTAGCTACATTTGGTTCGCGAAGATACATGTTGCGGTACGTAAAATTTCGCTTGTGTCTGCAGTTACAGCTGCTGTGATACTATTTAATTGTACGAGGAGAGTTGTACCTCCGGACACTGCCTTTCTACGGGGCTACAACATTGGTAAGAATTTTGAATGTTCGCTCCATGTGGGTACGATCATAAACGGTGATTTAAAGCTAATGAAGCTCTTGCAAGACAATTTTGGGTTGATACGTGTACCTATATCTACAGGTCTGTAGAATGGCGAGTGTGTTGCTTGGGAAGTACACGAGCAACACATTCGTCATTAACTTTCGATTTTTATTTATGAGGTTAGATTTGTGAGTAAAACTTCATTGTGTGTGTGTCTGTGTGTGTGCTGGACCGGTAGTTAGCTGCGTCAGGGGCCACAGAGCTGTATACCCGGTATTTGTTGCGTATATTGACATACGCAACACAACCAGGGACATACCTGGTTGTGTTGCGTAGGTCAAAATCGACCAGGTAGCGACTGAAATAGATCATCTCACAAGCAAGTGTTACTTTCAAATCTATAATATAATATCTCCTTTATTTGGCGGCGCTAAATGTATTACCTTTTTGTATCTTCTTTGATAAGAATATTTAGATATTTAATTTGTAAGAAAACAATGTGTTAATTTTCAGAAATATTTATACAAATTCAAAAAGGAAAAAAAATATTGTTCAATAGTTCTAGTGTAAAATTGTTAGGTGTAGTATGGTGGTGTTTGCTGGGGTTAATGTACCACTCATGCCCAGGTGCAGTGTGGTGGTGTTTACTGTGGTTAATGTACCACTCATGCCCAGGTGCAGTGTGGTGGTGGTGTTTACTGTGGTTAATGTACCACTCATGCCCAGGTGCAGTGTGGTGGTGGTGTTTACTGTGGTTAATGTACCACTCATGCCCAGGTGCAGTGTGGTGGTGTATACTGTGGTTAATGAACCACTCATGCCCAGGTGCAGTGTGGTGGTGTATACTGTGGTTAATGAACCATTCATGCCCAGGTGCAGTGTGGTGGTGTATACTGTGGTTAATGAACCATTCATGCCCAGGTGCAGTGTGGTGGTGTATACTGTGGTTAATGAACCACTCATGCCCAGGTGCAGTGTGGTGGTGTATACTGTGGTTAATGTACCACTCATGCCCAGGTGCAGTGTGGTGGTGTATACTGTGGTTAATGAACCACTCATGCCCAGGTGCAGTGTGGTGGTGGTGTTTACTGTGGTTAATGTACCACTCATGCCCAGGTGCAGTGTGGTGGTGGTGTATACTGTGGTTAATGTACCACTCATGCCCAGGTGCAGTGTGGTGGTGTATACTGTGGTTAATGAACCATTCATGCCCAGGTGCAGTGTGGTGGTGTATACTGTGGTTAATGAACCATTCATGCCCAGGTGCAGTGTGGTGGTGTATACTGTGGTTAATGAACCATTCATGCCCAGGTGCAGTGTGGTGGTGTATACTGTGGTTAATGAACCACTCATGCCCAGGTGCAGTGTGGTGGTGTATACTGTGGTTAATGTACCACTCATGCCCAGGTGCAGTGTGGTGGTGTATACTGTGGTTAATGAACCACTCATGCCCAGGTGCAGTGTGGTGGTGTATACTGTGGTTAATGAACCATTCATGCCCAGGTGCAGTGTGGTGGTGTATACTGTGGTTAATGAACCACTCATGCCCAGGTGCAGTGTGGTGGTGTATACTGTGGTTAATGAACCATTCATGCCCAGGTGCAGTGTGGTGGTGTATACTGTGGTTAATGAACCACTCATGCCCAGGTGCAGTGTGGTGGTGTATACTGTGGTTAATGAACCACTCATGCCCAGGTGCAGTGTGGTGGTGTATACTGTGGTTAATGAACCACTCATGCCCAGGTGCAGTGTGGTGGTGTATACTGTGGTTAATGAACCACTCATGCCCAGGTGCAGTGTGGTGGTGTATACTGTGGTTAATGAACCACTCATGCCCAGGTGCAGTGTGGTGGTGTATACTGTGGTTAATGAACCACTCATGCCCAGGTGCAGTGTGGTGGTGTATACTGTGGTTAATGAACCACTCATGCCCAGGTGCAGTGTGGTGTCCCCATGGTATCACTGGATACCAACCGTCCTGCGTGAGTGAAGGGTTGCATCACCCTAAATCTCACCTGAAATTCAGTTATACAAACCTTCCTACTGTATGAGAAAACGTATAGCATATTAAACCTTTAGCACCTTGATTTAAAAAATATATTCCCTGCGGAAGAAAGATGAGTTAATATGAGGAGAAAGCGCTAAGCCAATGTGACTATATAGTACTTGGAAGAGCTATGAGGACAATTACGGGGGTATTCATGCCCGTGCAACCTCTAGGGTGGTTTAATCTTCAGCAATCTATAAGGACAAGGAACGGTGACCATCCACTTGGACCATGGGGGACCGAACTTAGACCTACAGGAAGTGCTCACAGTACCAACCAGTCCAAGTGAATGGGGTTCCCTACTGAAGAAAGACTTATAAAATTTTCATACCACGAAGTTAAAGTGCTCAATTCTGAAGTTGTTTCTGACGTGGAGGATGATGAACTCCCCCGGAGTGGCGTCGGTGGTGGAGGTTTCCACCTGCAGGTGACGGTCCCTGGGGGAGTGATGCAGCGCCCCCAGCAGCGTGGCGGACGCCGTCAGGCCGCTGCTGGTCACTAACCTGCAACACCAGGGGCCCCAGTCAAGAGGAATGACACCAATATGTATGCCTGCTTAGTAAAAATAGTAGTCAAATGTAGTAGAAATTGTAGCAATGCGTGGGAGAGTCAGATTATCATGTTTTCTTACACCTGATGCCTCAGGTCATTTAACATGGGAGTTAGTTAGGGAACTGTTGTGGGTTGTAAAGTGCCGGAGATGACCTGCCTACTCCCGAAGTGAGACCTCGATAAGATTCATAACTATTTTGTCCCCTGACAATGGAAATCCATCAAACAAATGCAGAGTTGAGCACTACCTTATGCCTGTGTAAAACTGAAACTGGTTTCATGATAACACGAACAAGATAACAAGTTTCATTAAGTCACAGTAATAAAGAGCTCCACCTGGCCTCCCATTTGTAAATAACTTCACCTGGCGTAACTCTAATAAAGAGCTTCACTGGGCATCGCATTAGTAGAGAACCATACCCGGCCCTCACAATTATAAAGACCTCATCTTGGGTCACAGTAATAGAGAGCCTCTCCTGAAGTCACAGTAATAGAGAGCCTCTCCTGAAGTCACAGTAATAGAGAGCCTCTCCTGAGGTCACAGTAATAGAGAAGCTCACCTGGCGTCCACTTTGAGTGTCTGGGTCCCGTCAGGCAGGTGGAAGGTGACCTGTGCCACCCCCAGGCCCTCCATCAGCTGCTTCCCCGTCACCTCCACCTCCTCCACCTGCAGGAGGGAAGTTATAATGCCTGATTCGGTGAAGAAATAGACGTGCTTAGGGGAGCAGGAATATCCCCACCTCCTTGTTCTTATATCCCAGCTCCTTGTTTTCATGGCCCAGCTCCTTCACGTACCTGGGAGCTGCGCCCTGAGGCGGACATGACGACGGTGACCTGGGCGTCCGCCAGCTCCTCCTCGGCCAGCGGGTGATCGTCCTGGTACGACGCGAACACCTGCGTAAGAAGCACATGAGTTTGTATTAAGGATTCAGATACATTTATTTATAAACAGAACTCGCCAAACAAGAGGAAGTGATGGAGCAACAGAATGGCAGAAACTACATCAACAGCTTCACGGGAGGCATCTCCTGTCACGCAGGGTGCAGTCGCACCTCCACAGATCTCCAGTATCAGCTCTTGATACTGGTAATGGCTCAAAAGGGCCACCACTTACGGGCTATTCATGCCCGTGTCACCTTTTGGATGGCTTAATCTTCATCAATCAAATCAATCAACAGCTTGATCGTTTTCATTTTCAATGTCTAGCTAGGAAAATATATTTTAATCCATATTAGAGTGTCTTTTTTTACATACATACATACATACATACATACATACATACATACATACATACATACATACATACATACATACATACATACATTTGATATATATACATACATCCACACATGTATACGTACATGCATATATTTATATGCAAAGTGACATGACAATTAACACAAGGAGAAAACATATCCAGTGAAGAAATGACCTGAGTCAATACAGAGGACGCGGGCTTCCGTCCCAACCAGAGACGCGGACTATATATGCTTATGTATGTTACGAAGCTTACGTATCATCAAGATGTTAGTATTAAGTCAAGAATCTAGCAGGAAGGAAGATCGTTGCTTCCTGCCTGAGTTACTTATCAGATCAAGATTACTACAGTACTACTGTTACTTACAGACCAATATTTCACTGATATATAAAGTGCTACTTAAAGTAGCACTGAGTGACGTGGCTTTTTCCACTCTTGATTAGTTATTACTTAAATCAGGTGACAGGGGGCGGGACACTTACATGGACGGAGGTGGGCATGCCGGGCCTGAAGATGAGCGGCTGGTCCCCCAGGAAGGTCAGCTTGGCCTCCTCCTGCACCAGCCGGGCTAGCGCCCACCCCTCCTGCACCCACCAGCCGAAGGAGTCGCCGACGGCGGCCCACACCCGCACACTCACGTCCTTCAGGTCGTCGCTGCCCAGCTTCTCCCGCACCTTCCACAGCGGGAGGCTGAAGGCCTGGTACCCACGGAACTGTGTGGAGATACAGTCTGGCTGTAACTGTGTGGTGATACAGTGTGACTGTAGCTGTGTGGAGATACAGTGTAGCTGTAACTGTGTGGTGATACAGTCTGGCTGTAACTGTGTGGAGATACAGTGTGGTTGTAACTGTGTGGAGATACAGTGTGGCTGTAACTGTGTGGTGATACAGTGTGGCTGTGACTGTGTGGTGATACAGTGTGGCTGTAACTGTGTGGAGATACAGTGTGGCTGTAACTGTGTGGTGATACAGTGTGGCTGTGACTGTGTGGTGATACAGTGTGGCTGTAACTGTGTGGAGATACAGTGTGGCTGTAACTGTTTTTTTTTAGTTATGTTTCAGTAAAGTTTTTTTCTGTAGCCTTCATGTGATCGTTCTATACGTAGGAAATATTTAAATTCTGAATTTATAAAACATATATCACTTTCAGACTTGATTAATTGAATTTGTGTAAATTATAAACATCTTCAAAACTTGTAATATTAAAACATTCTAAATATATAATTATGTGAAAAAAATATTGAGCTCAGAAGTGCTTTCTGTGGCATTTCTCAACAACATGGTAGTGTAGTGTGGTGTTCCCCAAGGTAGTGTTTCAAGCACTACTCCTTTTTTTCCTATGTTGCCTTTATATGAACTATCTTTCCACCCCTTTCCTTTCCCTAATCTGCGATGGAACAACCCCCATTGAAGAGGAGACCGGAGGTTACTCCAGACCTCCGCTGCTGGATACAAAGGAGTCCCCCATAACACTTCAAACTTCAGGGCCCCACACACCATTTGGTCACCACTTGGTCCGGGAGACATCTCCCGTCACGCAGGGTGTAGTTGCGCCTCCACAGATCTCCAGTATCATCTTTTGATACTGGTAATGGCTCGAAAGGGCCACCACTTACGGGCTATTCATGCCCGTGCCACCTCTTGGGTGGCTTAATCTTCATCAATCAATCAATCAGGGCCCCACAAATTGTAGATCCGCCACTGTGGTCCCTCCAACACTGCCACTCCCCTGTGTGCTATACCTTGACTACTGCCTCTTCCCGCCAAGTTTTCTCTCCATCGCGTGCTTGCTTGCAGGATTCGCTGTCAGTACAAATCCGTATTGCATTCTCCCTCGCATTGTTTCTACCTTGTCACTGTGGAGTGTTCCGCTGGTAACATTTTTGTAACGGCTTGTGACCCTCGGCACGCTGAAGCCTTCTAAACCGCTTCCCTCTCTCTGTCATTACGAATGTTCTCACTGATAGCTGCGCGCATCTGTGGACACAGATGTGCGCGTATTATCAGTGAGAATTATATATATATATATATATATATATATATATATATATATATATATATATATATATATATATATATATATATATATATATATATATATATATATATATATATATATATATGTTTTACAAGGGGGGAAGGGTACCTCCCTGTGTCGGGGTCTCTCTCTCTCTCTCTCTCTCTCTCTCTCTCTCTCTCTCTCTCTCTCTCTCTCTCTCTCTCTCTCTCTCTCTCTCTCTCTCTCTCTCTCTCATCCCCTCTCTTTTCCCTATCTCCTCTTTCTTCCCATCTTCCCCTCTCCAACTTTCACCTGTCTCCTTCCCTCTTTTCCACCCTCTCTACCTCCCCCCCCTACTCTTCCCTCTCACAATTCTCGCCCTCCCCCCTTACTCTCACCCCTCTCCTCTCTTCCCTTCTCTCCACCTGTCTTGCCCCTCCTTCCCTCTCTTCAAACATCCTCCTCCTTTCCCACCTTCTTCCTTCTTTTCCTAGCTCTGTGTCTTTTACAAATAATACAGTCGACACCAGAGCACAACTCCATAGTCTCCTAAGACTGATGGATGCCTACTACTACTACTACTACTACTACTACTACTACTACTACTACTACTACTACTACTACTACTACTACTATAGTCTACTACTGGCGTGTGGGCGGTAATTATAAATATATATAAGTTGTAAATTTCTTTCGAAAGTTTGTTTACGTGCAATAAAACATGTGCAAGTAGGTTTTATTGACACAGGTGTAAATACGCAGCAATATGAATTAGTGCGTTATAATTGACTTCACTAAGCGGTCCGTAGTGCTACTGAACCCACTGACGGAAATCCCAAAGAGGGTGGAAAAAGAGAGAAGGGTTCTATCGTCTTTGGCTGGACGGTAGAGCGACGGTCTGGCTTCATGCAGGTCGGCGTTCAATCCCCGACCAGTCCAAGTCGTTGGGGGACCATTCCTTTGCCCCCCGTCTCATTCCAAATCCTTATCCTGATCCCTTCCAAGTGCTATATAGTCGTAATGGCTTGGCGCTTTCCCCCTGATAATTCCTTCCTTCCTTCGGCCAATGACAGGGGAGACGGGAGACGAGGTGCGCGCTCTACGGGTTTAGGTGTGCTCTTAACAAACTCATCTCTCCATTATAACTGCCCCCTCCACTGTGTGCGATTATCCGTCGAGCCAGACTCACCACTTTGCTGTGCACGACTCATCCCTTCGCTATCAGTGACTCACCTCTCAGCGCGACTCACTCTCCGGCTGATCGCGACTCACCCCGTAGATGAACTCGTGGTACGCGTCGGTGAAGGAGGCTGGGATGTGGGCGTAGTCGTGGCGGGCGAACTGCAGCTTGATGGAGCAGTTGCCGAAGACACTCCTCCAGTTGGTCATGTTGGCCACCACCACCCCCTCCACGTACTCTGCCGTCGTCAGCACCGTCAGCGGCAGCCGCACGAACACCTGCCAACCACACCACTCCGAGTCAACCACAAATGCAACAACAATTTGACACTGGACGAGCATATGCTTTACGGGCTATTCATGCCCGTGCCACCTCTTGGGTGGCTTAATCTTTATCAATCAATCATCAGCATATGCTGCCAGTGAAAGGGGGGGGGGTTGAAGATTGAAGCTGAATCAAGTTGAAGATTGCAACTTGGCACCAATGGGGTGCTCCAAAGATCAAATAAAGCCTCAGCGGATCACCTGTGTGTGTGGCACCTCTGACACCTCTGCCTTACTGTGCACATCCTGATCCACTGGCTAGACTGACAGTGTCGTAAATTTCAGACCCTAGTTCGAAACCCCATAGAAAACAGGATTTCTGTTTCGCAGAGCAAAATACAACATAATAAATAAGTCCTTACAATCACTGTTGATGTCACTACTGCTGTTGATGTCACTGCAGCTGATGATATCACTGCTCCGACTACTACTACTACTACTGATGTTATCACCACAACACTGTTTTACCAATCTGCCGCCTCATTCTGGTTATCATACTGAACACCGAGGAAAATGAAGACAAGTGAACGAAGGGGAAAAGCGGTGGAGACAAGTGGACGAAGACCTACCTCGAACCTTGGTCTGAAGTAGTGCTCCACTTGGATGTCCTTGTCCTCCACCTGGCTCCTGGCCCGCACCCTGATCCTCCACGTCCCCACCAGAGGGTAGGCGGGCAGCTCGAACTTGAGGTTGATCACTCCTGCAGAGAGAGAGAGAGAGAGAGAGAGAGAGAGAGAGAGAGAGAGAGAGAGAGAGAGAGAGAGAGAGAGAGAGAGAGAGAGAGAGAGAGAGAGAGAGAGAGAGAGAGAGAGAGAGAGAGAGGTCATCTTCGTATCATTACTCTACCAAAGGCTACTTAAAGTAGTTACATAGCTTGCTCGCTGGCTAGTTAAACCTGTCTAGGGCGCCTTACTCTAGCTATGCAGATGTTAACAGGGAAGTATCACGTATATTATATTAGGTTACAACTTCTGAGACGAGGCTCGGTTATGCCGTAATGCCCAAGAGTAGTTGTGCTATGATGTAAAGTCGTGGTAGGGAAGTGAAAAATTTACAGTGACACTAATGTACTGAGTTCATCACAACTACTGATTTAAATAAGTGAAATGACACATTAACAGTGATTTCAGAGGTACAGTGCATATGATTATGCAGTGATGAAGGATAATGATGAAAGAAATTGCCGATGCTAACAAGTGAATTACTGCTGATATTAGTGAGCATTGGACCCCGAGTGCAATATAATGGGATACAGTGACTCGTGGTGATACAGCCAGATTATTACTTCAGGAAGAAGAAGAAACTCAACGAAAGCCTCAAGCTCAAGTCGCATGAACGTCTTCAAATGGTGGGGCTCAATCTGAGGTTTCGTCTTAGAGGTCAGATCGTCTCTGTAGAGGTCGTGGAGCAACCCGTCCTCTTAAAAATAACGTCACTTTTGGCTCGTATGCGCGATATGGCTAAATTTGGACGTAATTTGAAATGAAATCGACTCACAAAAGTGACGTTCTGTTCCGTTTTCTATTTCAGTCGTAACGTTTTGATCCGAGGAGCTGAATCTAAAACATCATCATCTTAACACTACTTGATAATGGTCGAGGACGGACCGAAACGTCCTCACTTCCTCTACTTTCAGACGTGTGTGTGTTGGGTTGTTGTTGTTAAAGATTCGCTACCTGGAACAAGAAGTTCCAAGTAACACGGGCTATGGTGAGCCCGTAAATTTTGCGAGGCAGCAGCTACGTATGGTACATGACTTGAAGTGTAAACTTGTACTAAGCACAGAAGACATTTATTATGAAATTCGTGTGAATGTTAATGCTGAATTCTGTGGATATATATGTACATTAAGGACACACCCGGTATGATATAGGCTCCGTTGACTCTGTAGGTTTGGAGACTCGTGCATATTTAAGGCCAACACTGTTCATAGCCTACAAGAATGATTTTGGATCTGTCTATAGTCAAATTTGCGGTTATCCTGTGCAGACCTGAGTATTTAGTAGCCTAAGGAAGGTCTCAGAGCAGTGTGGTCCAAGGATTGGGCAGTGGGGGGAGGAGGACTTGAAGTGTCAGGTCCCTGGAGAAGGAGTCTCCTTGGTCACTTGGTCTGTGATGGACCACGTTGTATTCACCTAGTTGTCCTTGCAGTGGTTGAGCTCTAGCTCTTTGGTCCCGCCTCTCAACTGTTAATCAACTGGTGTACAGATTCCTGAGCCTACTGGGCTCTATGGTGTAGAGCTACGTAGCTCTACCTGTGAGCTACGAGATGTTATCAGGTGTGTCATGGTCTTCGTGGACGGCTGGTCCGGAGTAGAGTCCCTACACGCGGTGGAGCACTTGTCTGTGTAGGCAGGTCTGGTGCACGGACCACCAACACAGGCAGCTAGGTAAGCCCCCCATGGCATGACGTAGGGAGAGGTAGGGTGTTGAGGCAGTAGAAGGCAAATGGACGAAGAAGGGTGTAGGGATGAGGGAGACAGGATGTAGAGGTTTAACATAGTGTTGGGGTACTTTGAATAGAGCGTTGCAGTGTCGGGCCAGAGTACAGTGTCGGGGCAGGGTAAAGAGGGAAGCGACATGGACTTACCGTGACTTGTCTGGTATGATGGCCAACGACGCATCGCCCTGCCACGCGGGTCCTGGAGGGAGAGAGAGAGAGGGTTGTCAGCAAAGATTGTGAGGTTTGCGGGAGGATGTTGACAGCCCCAACCAAGTATAGCTAGTTATTTGATCTACACTGTGTAATCTTTCATATAGACTAGGGTGGCAACACATTGTTCTGTGTACCTAAGCTTAATAAGAAAAAAAAATAATCAGTAGACTGGTTGTTTGTCTGATGCACAATGACTCTCCTGTACTTGAATCTATTCTTGTCTTAAGCAAATCATGAAGTTGTTGCTGACATCATCAAGCACAAATAACTATATATATATTTTTTATTTTTTTTTCGTAAATAATTATCAGTTAATTAAGTGGTAACTATGACGCAAATAACTGACTCGCAAGTGCTGCAAGAGCTGCGAGGTTATTTAGCTTAGGTACACTACAGGAAGGGTCAACACAACAGAGATGTTAATATTTGAGTGGGTTTAGCGCTACCAAATAAGAACTAACCTACGTCATTTGTTCGTTACACGGAAATTCCAGGAGTGTGTAAAATAATATTTGTATGCATTATTGACCTCACCAAGAAGCCTTAATAGACAATAATACTGTATACTATTTAAGAAACAAATAATTCCAAAATTATTATTTTAATCATACGAGTTAGATAAAGTTGTCATTTTTACTCAATGGCGATTTCATTGCAAACAGTGACAACCGGCTGCAGACTTCTTGATACACTAGCAAATAAATGTATTAAATGTGGGCTTATTGTCTCTACAGGTAAAATTAAGACCTTATGCCCCCCAAAAAATACATAATCCTCCTGTTTTTAAAGTCAATGACCAGCGCATTGACAACTGCAGGCAATACAAATACTTCGGTGTGACTATTAATAGTGACATTGTAAGTGAACTACATCTTAATCTTAAAAGACAGGCTAAGTCCTCTTAAAACGCTTGCTGGAAAGCACATTGGTATTAATGCCAAATATGCCAGAATGTTCTACATGATGTTCATTAGGTTACTAGTGGACTGCCATGCCCTGCTACCTTGTTAGTCTCCCTAGCATGAGGGAGGAACTGAAACTCTCAACATTATGTGAAAGAATTGAGCAGGTTAATACTACCTTCTGTGTAAGGGTGATGAGAGATCCGTCACCCTTACTACTTAGAGAAAAACTGACTAGTGCGGTTTGTAGGCGAGAGAGTGTTGCCTGAATATAGAGAAAGGAATCAGCACATTGCTGTGTATACCTGAACTTGTTAAAAAAAAATTACTTAGTGTTATAAAATTAAAGAAATTATAAATTGCAGATGAACAAAAAAATTATACACAAGTAAATGTATATATAACAATTCTGAATATCACTTAGATTCACAAGGTACTAAGAATTACACAAGGCACCAGCCAAGGTACCCAAGGTCGTTTATAATTACGTTCGTCAACCCCACGTGGAACATATTGTCACTGTGAGACTAAAAAATGTAGAACTTACACAAATATTTACTTTGTTCAGAAACTAGCCCATGTTTTTGAAGAGATAAGAGAAAAGCGGGCGAGGCTAAACGTCCAAGGAAGTTGACAATGGGTTTGGTAATACTGTGGACTATTCCTGAACTTTTACACCCATTATGTATTTTTGTGCTTTGACGTAAGTTAATTTATCACACGGACACATATGGGTCAGATCAAATCGCCCATTATTTTTAACCTGATACATCTATACTCGCCTCTCACATACAAACCAAACCAAAGATAATGTACATTTACCACAATTAAATGCCAATAACGTAATGTTTATGATAAGATATTGAGGCCATCGGTAGTGCGCGTGTGTGTGGAGAGTTTCAACCCATTGAGCCGCTTCACGATTTTCGGAATATAATTTAGTCTGTACATTGTAGGCTTCAGGACCCTACGCGTCCTGAAGCCTACAAAAAGAGCGTCGGGTTGTGAAATGAATGAAGTCATAATATCTGCTCAGCATTCCTCTCTGTACTGACTTCTAACCAAATATGTCTCGTGATGTTTCGGGAAGCGGCCAGAGTGAAAAATATGTAAAAACAAATTTTGGAAAATCTCGAGCATCATCTGAAATATGAATACTTAACTAACAAAAAATATTATGAATTGTGATGACGTTGTTTAAGAATCAGCTACTGGGAATAAAAAGTTCCAGGTAGCACGGGCTATGATGAACCTGTAGTGGTCTTACCTGGCACAGGAGCGGGGCTGTAACTGTTGTTGTAATGACGAGGCTGTCATTTTAAATATCGGAGGTGGCGGCCATTTTGGAAACACATCAAGGAACAGAATGTAAATGTAACAAATATATTATTGCCGTCCAGTCTCAAAGATTAATTATTAAGCGAATAATTGAAGCATATAATAATAGTGAGTAGAACATAATATTTAACAATTCTGTGGGGATTAAATTACACAAACAATGTTGGAGAAAGAGGCGAGAGTCCGACGGTCGATTGAGCATGGCGAACACGCAGATGGTATAACAGAAATATTTGTTCGTACCTTAGAGCTAAGTGGCCGAGTATCTCACATTTCCTTGCTTTACAACTGGTGTACATCTCGTGTGTTCTAGAGCAGTTAGGATTAGACCATGAAGGGGATATTGCTGTGCAAATTGGAAGTGCTGACGAGTGTGTTCCCCCAACCCTCCCATGTGGCCGAGGCTGTGGTGGTGTCTGGCTGGTTTATCAGTATATTGTCAGTTATTTACGTATTTATTTATTTACGTATGTATTTATTTATTTGTGTATTTATTTATTTATTTATTTATTTATTTATTTATTTACATGGAGGTACAATGGGTTTGTGAGAGCATATAATATTGGTATTTTTACATTCTTGTAAAGCCACTAACCTGCAGTTTCGGGTAGGTTAGACAATACCTAAATTGGGTTATACCTAAATTACCTTTGTTGTGCATTATAGAGGCTCACATCTGCCATATTTATTTTTAATAGTGAATAACACTTCAATATTTCCTTATTCCCCCCCCCCCCCTCAATACGTTTATTATTTTGTTTCTGGTAGAAATGTTGTCGTGAAGCAGGTATACAATAATAGGAGTTACTGTGAATCCTTAGAGCAGGTGAGCCTTTCACTCTACTACTTTTTTGGGGAGAATTTTGTTATTAATTACTACTGTGTACGAGTGTGTGTATATGTGCACATACTCCTCTAGAGTCTGTGTGTGTGTGTGTGTATACGCAAAAGCTTGGCCATCCCTACCTCGTGTGTGTGTGCGTGAGTAGGGAGCTTGCTTCGATTGTCACAGCTGTACAAACATGGGTATAAATGCTATAAGATTGAAAATGTGCACTTGTTGGCTTCATACAAGCTAGTGCACACACTTAAAAAACACAACCACCACACACATGCAAAAATGCGGTCATACGCACAAACAGATGTCAACAGATGCACACACACACACACACACACACACACACACACACACACACACACACACACACACACACACACACACACACACACACACACGTGAACAAATATACACATACATACACACAGAAGTAACTGTGGAACACTCACCAGGAGGAAGACATCGACGGGATCGTCATAAGGCTTCAGGTCCCTGGTTAAGAAGACGGCTCGGAACCTCACTGTGGGCCAGAAATGACATTATTAAACATCATCAACATGTCTCA